CGTACTTCAACAAACAACGTGCCGATCAAAAGCTTATTCAAGACTTACGCGCCAAGTTTGGAGAAGACGCCGTGTTTGTGATGGGAAACTGGTCCTCTCCCTATGCTAGTTATTATGAGCCTATCCGTAGCCTTGGTTTCCGAGGGTTCTTCAAGAAACATAGGCTTCAAGTCTTTCTTATAGACGAGTACAAGACCAGCAAGTGCTGTCCAACATGTCACAACGAAAGCCTTCACACGTTCCGTCGTGTTCCAAATCCACGACCGTATCAATGTGAGCGATATCCTGCTGTTGTCTGCCATAGCCTTTTAAGGTAATAATACATGAACCACGTGTATGACTTTATAGTGATTGAACATTGCTTGTAGATGCACCGATCTATACTGCAGACCTACCATGGCAGCACCAGACAGATATCGCTTATGGAACAGGGATGTTGCTGCTTGCCTTAACTACGAGCACATCCTTCGTAGGCTTCGATGTAATGGCATGGTTCCTCATATGCTTCGCAGGGCTGCTGCTGCTCCTACAAGACGTTGGAGAAGAGCGAACGATCAGGAGCAACCAAGAACTAGAATACGCTTAGACGATGTTTCTCCGTCCTAGTTATCGCTAGGACACATCTAGATGCCTTTGGAGTAAGTTATATATAATAATTTTCTTACATAACTAACTGTATTATCCTTTATATTCTCTCCTCGGTACTTATTACTCTCATTTGTATGTCGTCTGCTTTTGCACGCATCTTTAATCTTTGCGTAAATACTTTTTTTAATACGCGTCAATCATTTTTTTCATACATATCATAATTTTATCCTATTTCCTAAATTTATTTTTAATAAAACAGAATCAATTTTCCAGTTCCAGAGTTCCTGATGGAATGTGCTGCCAAGCTTTATCCGTTGGCGTGTTTTCCACATTGTAATGGTTGACTTTAGAGATTATGGCTGGTAGTTGCTTGTTAGAGTTATCGCCAATGTTTCTTGTCCGTGTGATAGTTGCAGATAGCCCTTCGCGAGGCAAATGCTGTCGATAACCATTCGTTAAAACAAAATGCTTTTCACAAACAGGAAAATGGAAACACTCATCTGTTCGTTTCACAATTGTTTACTTTTCAAAATCCATAGCTGCTTGTAAGTTTTTTATCTCATTTTCCTTTGTGGAATATTACGGAGACGTTCAGATACAGCCAACAAGAAAGGATATAAAAGCGAAATTTAGCATAGTATATGTAATATATAATGCCTTGTGTATTATTTGATATGAAAGAGTAAAGTCGTTATAAAAGAGGAAGCGATCTCCTTGTTAACTTTGGTCTATTGACCAATAATCAATAGTGAGAACCAAGTTTAAAATTAGAAACAAAAAGGAGCATACTGAGGTTAGTAAAGCTTTTAAGTAAATTGTAAAGTAATTTGATCGTCAAAGTAAAAATTAGTTGGTTTTGATTAAGGTAACATTATGTAACTAGAAGACTAATTAATAAAAAATAATGCACAGAATAGCCACATAAAGTAAGGCTACTTAGCTGACTTTTCTGTTGTCAATGATCAAGGTTGCGGAGAACGATTTAAATATTGATGATGAACCAAATGAGAAGCCAAAATATATAAGGATTGGCAAACTAACGCTTTATAAGATGAAAATAAACCTTGAGCTTTTGGAAAGCCTCAGACGAAGCACGGCTAAAGCGGCCAGCAATACTCTTAAGCATGGAAAGGAGAGCGAACATACCTTTGCTGTTGTCAAAGCATATTTTCACTGTGCCCTTATTCTGGAAGTGGCCTGCCGTCTCCAGCAAGAGAACCTTCAATATCATAAAACTCGCGTAGCCGAATTATACCATCAGCATTATATACTTTCCTGCGATCAATTTTTGAGCCTATTGGGACCAGCTGTTGGATCATCGCCTCGAGAGGCTCTTCGTCGGGAACGTAGTAAGGTCTAGGATGAAACGTATGGCAAAGAAGGTTAACAGTAGCTTCGAAGCAAGGGTGAAGCACCTTGTAATTAAAGGTCGCCTTAGAATGTGTCATCGAAGGCAATTTGTTAACCATGTTAGCCCTAGTAATCTGAAATGAGTATGAATTTTGGGAGATAAATATACAATCGTACTTACATAACTAAAAAGATTCCCTTCACAAACCTACATTCAGCTTTGTGCTCTGCCAGACACTTAGTATTTTCCATATTATTCACCAATTCGGTAGAAGCCTATAAGAAAATAAGCTATCAAGTCTCGAGTATTTTTATATTTTTTTTTATACATTATACAGTAAGGCCTCAATGAAGCTCTTTAGTTGGGGAACACTAGTACTCATAGGAAGTCTTGGCTTTGGTTTATTTGTGAGCTTAAGCACTCCATTTTTTTTTTCGGGGCTAGAGCAATTACAAATTAGTACAAGTAAATTTGGTTTCTTTCTTTGATGTGTACCTGTACTTATGAGAGTTTATATCCGACTCTGCATCAGCAAGAAAAGAGGACCTCTTTCTTTCTGCTCGTCATGATGAACCTAAGGTAGATAATACGCTAGGAAATTAACAAAACTTTTTTCTTTTTGTTGAAAGATGAGCATATAGTATTATTCTTACCTTCTGCTTCTTCTTATGAGGCTCTTCTGAGCTGTTGTTACTATCAAATCACCTTCTCCTTGATACACGTAGTAACTGCCTAAAGTATGTGGTGAGAAAATTTTGAAAAAAGGTTATTTTTGTATGAGTAAATATACCGGAGATGGCTCAGGGATTGGGTTTGAGGTTGGGCTTTTGAGCTTATGTAGTTGCACGTCTATCTCCAGTAAAATAGGCTCAGGGTTGCCTTTTGAGTGTATTTTTACTTTTTTGCAGAGCCGACTTATACACTGCTGCAGGATCCTTACTAAAACCCTCTTTAAAATGCTTACGAAAATTCTTTAAAGACCACTTAGAAGCTGACTTTATACCTGGAGTGATTCGTCATTGTTAATGAGAGGAAGTGAAAGAAAGCGAAGTAAAATTTTGGGTTTCCGCTATATACACAGCAAACAGCATATCTATCGTGTTTATCTTATAAATACTTCATCTTGTAAAAGATTATTTGAAGAAAGAAAAAGCAAAGAAAACTGACCACAAAATGCGTTATTCTTATAGATACGCCATATCCAATTCTCATTAGCCGTGATAAATTCATGCAATAACCTTGTTTTCTTATGAATAATGAGCCTTCTCTCATTTCAAAATAATAAAGAGATTATCACAGACTCATTGACGCATGCTTCTCTTATACTTCAGTGGTTGTACATAGTGTTGTGTAGGTGTGGTTTGTCTAGTGCAAGTTGAATTGCTTACGTCACTAATTGGGAAAATGCTGTGCAGATGTGTTGTGCAAATAGCAATAACCTAAATTTTGTTGCGCAGACTATCAAGCGAAAGGAAGGGAAGCGCACATGATTTGCTATTTTAAGTTCAACGCCAAAAGTAAGTTTGAGTGGGCTTAGAAAAAAGTTCATTGACAGGTCATCTTTTTTTGTTTACAGATGGCATATTGACAAGCTTACGTGTCATTTTATTTAATGATTATTCCCTTAATTTATTCATATTTTAGTAGTATTATCAGCAATAGTTGATTTACATTTAGTAAATTATATTCTTTTTATTTAAAAGACAGAAAAGTTCCTGTTTACTGTTTGATAACTAACTTATGATGCCCCCTTTATTGTTTTTGTAATCGTCTAGTTTTAGTTAAAAGGACTGCAATTTCCCTTATGTATTACATTGGGCGCATCTGATAACTTCACTGTGGTAGTTGATCTACATTTGCGTCTTCTCTTGATTTTCTTTTTCCATATTCGAGAATAGTAGATCTTGACATTGAGGTAACCTTGCATTACCTGAATCAAATGTTGTGAATGCTTTTGATCTGTCATCATTTGAAAATACACTTGTAACTTGATCTTTGCATATTTAAAAAAAGATCGTTTAATCTTTTTTTTTTTTTCTATCTTTATTTGATTGATCATGTCAAATCTTTACAAACACTCGTCAGAGCGTATATGACAAAGTTCCCTCCCCATTCGGGTGCAACCATCAAAAGATGACATGCATCTAATAGAGAATAATATAAATTCCACTACTAACATATTCATCTATATCCTTCAGCATCAAACTATTATTATTATTCTTATTATTATTATTATTAGATGGGTCAACAAGAACATTTATTCTCCTTATTAAAAAGTGAAAGTGTTGTTTAAATAGGAAATGATAACCAAACGAAATTATTGGCTACAACTATTTAAAGTAAGATATACGTGTTACTCAATTTTGTGAAAATAGTGTAAATGGGGTGACACTCGAATTAAGTATGCACTTACCATAATTGCCCCGAAAGATCAGCTTTATGTATTCCTTTTATACACTTGCCCTATTTATTCAACCCCCTATTTAATTTGAGGTTTTACCAAAAAAAGTTTTTTCAAAGTACTTTTTTCTTTCTTCTTTTTCATTATTCAATAAAAAATATACTAAGGAAGCTTCTTTCTTTTTATTATTTTTTATTTTTATTTTACTTTCCTTTTTCATTATTACATGTTACGACTATAACTACAAGCAGTACACATCAACCTTTCCATTCCTTTTTCTTTATTGTTACAAGTATATATTAAATATCATGCTAAATTCACCAAGGAATTCTGTTGCTCATAATCAACAAGCAAAGGTAAAATAAAGAAATGTCATTTTACTTTGTGTACTTATTAATACCTATTGCAGTTGGCAGTGGATTATAATGAATTATTAAAAGAACTATCATCTCATGAAATAACCTCAGTTGGATGTTATACCATAGGAGAAACCATAGGCGAGGTAGTTCTAGCTGTCCTTTTTATAATGATTTCATGATAATAATAATAATTTTTTAAAGGGCACCTTTGGCAAAGTTAAAAAAGGTTACCATAAACTGACTGGTAAAGTAGTTGCTATTAAAAAGATCAGTAAACAACATGCACCAATGATGGCTAGAGAAATACATCATCATAAACAAATTAAACACCCAAACGTTGTCATGTTGTACGAAATGATTACAACAGAATCAGCTATTCACATCATATCTGAATACTGTCCAAATGGTGATCTCCTAGATGCTCTTACCCTCTCTGGTGGTCGCTGTTCTGAAGCAAGAGTTCACAAATGGTTCCATCAGCTGACAGACGCAATCAATTATTGTCATATGCATCATATTGTTCACAGGTTAATACTCCTTATATTTCTTTGTCTTTCGTTCTCCTTATATACTTACTACAATACATATAGAGATCTCAAATTAGAGAACATACTATTAGATGCTGACGATAATGTCAAAATATGCGATTTTGGCTTTGCAAGATACATTCAAAAAAACCAATATTTAGAAACATTTTGTGGAAGTCTAAGTTATTCAGCTCCAGAAGTCATCCTTCGTAAAAAATACACCGGCCCTGGTAACTATAGCAATCACTATAGTAGCTTCCCCTTTAATACTCACCGTCTCGTAGAAACCGATATCTGGTCTTTAGGAGTCATACTTTATACCCTTCTCGCTGGAGAATTTCCTTTCGATGACGATTCTGAAGTTGTTACGCAAAGAAAAATTGTTCAAGTGGATTACCAAATGCCTTATTATTTCAGCTCAAAGCTAAGTAGTCTTATCAACGGCATGCTTCAATTAGAGCCTTCAAATCGTTTCAGTTTGGATGCTATTATCAATCATCCTTGGATGACCGAGATTGAGGATTACATGATCGATGAGGGTTTGACACCGTCCTCTTCAACTACTTCAAATAACAGCACCTCAACAGACATCGACTTGATCGTTGAAAGCGTGCCAACATCGCCTCAATTCATATTCTCACCGCAGATTAAATCCAGTCTGGGTCTTACCGAAAAATCACCTCGATTCTCTGCACCTACTTTGAATAATAATCGATACTCTTCTACATCGCCGTCTTCCTTCAGAACATCATTACCTAGCTCATTTGCCCAGCAAAAGCCTCAAGGAATGACGCCAGTTGAACAGCGTCTGTTTGCAGCGCTGACGGCGGCAGGCTTTGACAGAGATGCACTCATCAAGATGCAGACAGGCGAATGTGATACCTCGAGCACACTTTGGCACTTATTACTTGAGAACATGACCAATAAATCTCAAGAAGAAATAGACTCAGTTCCCAATGCATTTGCATCTGCAATAGAAAACCACCAGAAGAAATCAAATGCCGTAGACTGTGGCATCCAGACAAGTCCAACTATCAGCCGTAGTAATAGTATTAGTCAGCCAGCTGTGCGTTTAGATTCATTTGATATAAAACCTTATCCTAAACCAACTGCACATCATACTATCCAAACCATCGGCTTTGGATCAACAACACAACAACAAGATAAACCAGGGTGGTTTACCTCTGTCAAATCATGGTTTGGCTCCAAACAACAGCAACAACAGCAACAACAGCAACAACAAGCACATCGATCAATTGCCACTTCAGCAAACAACAATAATTATACTATACCTGCAGTAAATACCAGAGATGACGACCTGATCATGTCACCGCCTATCTACAGAACTGGATCTCAAAAATATCGGCGTAGAATGCTTCAGCTGACTGAACCACCGGTGAGCGAATTGGATCAATTGACTTATAATGGCACAGTTTTTACGAGCAAAAATACCAACAGCAAAACTACAACAGCAAGCATCACTACTACAAGTAGCAACAGTTTGCGTGAATACACTAAACAGCCATCAGCTCATGTTGTCATGCCACCTACTGCGCTTACTTCAGCACGTCTTGTTGCTGATACCTTTTCTATTATAAGCGATGATACAGCACAACCAAAAGAAATAGATATCTGTGCAAAGCGGTATTCAATGATGTACCTACAACAACATCAACAGCCAACACCACCTCCTTCCCCTCCTGCGATGGCTGCCTCTCCGCAAAAGAACTCTCAAGTAGAATACAGCATTGTTCCTTCTCCTGCTATAAGTCCTATAGAGGAAAAGGCGCTCAGCCTATCACCGGCGCCCGAGAAAAAGATACAGGATGTATCATCTCAATCGCCGCCGCCACCGCCACCGCCTGTCTTAGAACTTAAGCAAGATCAATTTATCAAACCCAAAGAAACATCTCCCTCGCCACCTCCTATCCTTTCAACTGGTATTTCAACTACTGTTTCTATAGTAAGTCTCATTTCGTTTACTACAAGGGAATGTACTAATATACATTTCTTAGGAAAACACTCTTTCTTCTCCCTTCAAAGCACGATCTTCAAGGTTTGAATATGCGCCAAGATCTAGACTAAGCATATATGGTATGCAAGAATCTAGAGTGTTACCGATAACCAGCAAGACGATTATAGAAGAAGAAGAAGAAGAAGAAGAATAGATCATAAAAATATGTTATAACCCCCTCAACTTTTGTCATTATTATCTGATATACATTCATTCCTTTCTCCTTCTTTATTATTTATTTTATTAGTATTAGTATTATTTAGTATTATTTCTCATAGTATTCCTTTTTTATATACACACAAAAAACCACCACATATACATATTATATACATATTTCATTAAATCCCTCTCTTTTTTGTTCTTTGTCCTTTTGTAAAAATGAATAATAATAGAGCAAGTTCAATAGGATTTGCTTTCTATAAGAAAAAAAGTGTTTATATCAAAAAACGTGTGAAATTGTAAGATGCACTTGCCCCTTTTCCTGTCCTCAAGATCCTGCTTGAAGCGTTCCAAGATAAATTTTTCAAGATCTACATTAAGTTCACAATCTTCAGGTTTAAAGGACTGCCTACAGAGCGGGCAAGACTGATGATGAGCAGGTACTAACTGACCATGTTCATCCAGAATAAAGCAAGAGCAGCCAATCAGTGGCGCCTTCACCAGTAGAAACCCTTTCTTTTTCTTGGCAGAGCATTGGTAACAGTAATGCTGCTGCAGGCAGTCCTTGCAAAACGTATGATGACATCCTTTAAGCGTCACTGGTTCATGCAATATAGATAAACAGATGGCGCACATTACGTCTCTTTGACATGGTAGCTGTTGCTCTAGTGCCGTCTTTAGTTCATTCAAAAGGTCTTGACTCATCTGTTGGCTAGTCTCGTATTTCTGATTCCAGTAGGTAGCCAAAAGGGGTGAACGAAGGGCAATGTGACCAAGGTCCCAAAGCAATTTGAGTTGGCTTTCGATGTAATAATGATGTAAAAAGATGTCTTGCTCTAGTTGATACACACGGTTCATATACTTTACTAAAGGTGAATTCTATATACACAACTCAGTATTTGTTTACATGTATAAAAATAATATGTATATACCTGTTTCTCGTTCCGTATAGCTTGCATACGATTTTCAAGAGTATAGTGGAATGTTTGAAAGTGGCTATGTATAGACTTTGGTGTCGGAAGGGATCGTCGCTTGTTGAAAGAATGATCGAGATCCTTTAAACAGTTTGATATGAACTGCCGAACTTCATGGACTAGTTTTTTATCTCTATTTCTTGAAGGGAAGGACTGATTGCATTTTTTTTAATATTGTTTTATATATATATTATTGGCAACTTACGATGCTATATAAACCTGTACATAGTTCATTTATTTGACCCTTCAGCATGACGGCTACACCGGATGCGTGCCTGTAGATACGTTCTAGTTCAGAATACCATAGTTTTATAAACGTTTCCATCAATGACCAATCTTGACTACTTTGTCTTCGGCGTTTCTTCATTGTAACCAAGTTAACATAAGTTTGCACAATCGAATGTATTTGAACAAGATGATGTTGATAGACTGGAGACTGTTTTAAGCAAGTGGGTATAGGTTCAATATGTTGATCAAATTCAACAACAGATAACTTTGATTTCTTGCTGCTATTAGTTCGAAAGATACGATACCAAGTCATGATTAAACAATTGATGTATACAAGAGGAAAAAAAAAAAAAAAGAGAAATAATAATAATATATATATTTATATGTAAAGGAGAGGGCCGGCATAAAAAAAGGTAAAAATGAAATGCGCGCTTTTGAATAAAAGATTTATTACTTAAACATAAAGAAGGATGCGCTTGTTCTCGCAGCTTTAGCGTATGCATGCAGCTCTTTTCGATCCTCCAATGTCCATTTTTCTTCTTCTGGTATACTCTTTGATTTTGCATTGTTTCCATACTTTTGCTTATACTGCATGTATCTGTCATATAATCTAAAAGGATGCAGATAAGTACATGTATTAATAAACTTAGGATATCTCTGTTTCTTACGCTTTGTATTGAGGGATATTGCAAACACCGCCAACAACAACCAAAAAGGAGTTCTCAGGTAATCCGTGATAAACACGTCGAATGTACGAGTCTAATGTTTGAAGCTGAGTAGCACGTTGAGCATCACTGGCAGCACTGGGAAGCACAGTGGGCGCCCCGCTATCTTGCTGCTGTTGACGCGTTAATGTGTCATCTGCTGTAATATATCGAGTAAACAAGAAATTCTTCTCCTTGATCTTTTCCAACGTCAGCTCCACTAATTCCTCATCTGTATCTGTACGGTGATAGTCACCCGAGAGCGTATCGCCAAACAACCTTGTGGCAGATCTTGCGCTCTCAAGAATGGCGCTGGATCGTGGGGGACGATTGGCGCTGAGACGGTCAAAGACGAGTTCTACCTTTTTAAATCGACCAAATCGAGGTTTATTCGCAAGCTTGAGTTTGAACAAATCTAGTGTGGCACGAGCATCTTCAGCTGAATCGTGACCCATGAGGGATTGATTATGTCCCTGAATGTTTCTCTGTAAATAGGTACGCGCCAAGTGCTTCAGTGAAGGCTTATAAGGTGGACCTCGCATATGATCATATAATCTAGAGGTATCAACGCAGTAAGGGTGAGCTAGTTGCATTGCTTTCAAATCGTTTTCTAGACCGTGGCCAACCAAGATGACGTTGTGATCGACAATCTTTCGCACATGTTTTTGAGCGCGGCGTAAAGAGCATGTGGTGGCGCCCATAGCTTCAGGAGTGATACCTGAATACTGTGTCAAGTAATCAGTGATGGGCGCATCAGGTTTGACAAGTTCATCTAATAAAATACTGCCATCTACGAATATTTTAGTAACCCTTCTTTATATCTGCAATGTGATTTGATTACCTTCATCAATAAGCGTAATACGAGCTAATGCGCTGCCCTTTTCCGTCATGACCATTTCACAATCTACTGCAATGATTCGTTTAACAGGCTTCATGACACCGTCCACAGGGGGTCGAGTTTCTTTCCAGCCATCAGGTAAAGCAGCGGTTGGATCTAAACATGTGGGTATCGGAAATCCTGCCTTTTTCATCTCATCCAACGTCAACATGTAATATTCCCTCATGTTATCCTTAAATGCCTGTATTTTTTTTTGGTTTTCGTCAATCAGCTTTTCCTTTTTTGAATTAGATATGCTACACTGCAACATATCGGCTACAGGCGAGCTCAATTTTTCCTTTTCGCCCGAGATCATGTGAACAAGCATATACCGACTCTGTTTTGTCAAAAAGGGCATGGACGATTTACCAATCCATGCCTCTTTGGGAAGATCTTGAAGATCAACAAATGGTAAGTTCGACTCCTGAGGCAGACCAAAATAAGAGCAGTTCAATCCAGGTGCATAGATCACGACCAACCGTTCGACTTGTGATTTATTGATAATGGTGCACCAAGGCAGATTGCAAGTTTCTGAAAGTGCGTAAAGAATGAATTCACGTATCTGTGTCGTTGGTATTGCCTGTGTTAGGCTCTTGGGATTGAATTGAAAGGCGGCACGAGTGATCAACTGACCGTTGACATTAGCCTTGTTTTTCCTCTTGAGTTTTTTTTTTAAACGGATCGCAGCTACTTTGGCTAGTATTTCTTCTTCGGTTAGTTCCTTCTTTGCTGCCTTTTTGTTTTTATTGCCCTTGTCTTTGTTGTTCTTGTTGTCTACCTTGTTCTTCTTTCGAGAATTGTCGTTGTTGCTATCTTGGGCAGCACGCTTTTTTCCATTATGGTTCTCTTCTGGCTCATCGAACGAGACATGAATTTTGGTAGCAGTGTCGTAACGTTTTTGGAATCTGTCAATGTTTGGCGTAAACTTCATTCGATCGATCAAGTGACAAGAAGGCAGATAATTTTTTGCTGCATGTTTAAAATAATAAGCCACATTTTTCTATTTTTGGGATATTCAGGGCGACTTGACTTTTGGAAAAAGAGACTGTAGAAAATTAAGACTATATAATGCTTGCTTCATGTTGCTACTTGGATCAGCTGCACAGTATGAGGTGGTATATGCAGTAGTTCACAGATTAGAGTGTTATCATGAAACAGTAAATAAAGAGTTGCATGTAGATTCATCTGTCGACAGTAGTCATCATATGTATTTAGTAGTGTAAGTTGTACATTATGTGTCATTTGCGTTTACATTAAAAATAGAATGTATATATATGCATATATATATTAAGCTCAGGTTTAAAATACAAGACGTCATTCAAGCAAGTTATGCTTGTTGGAATCAAGGACCTGCCATGATCATTTAGTCCGCTACTGTATGACAATGGAAATAGATAGTAGAAAAGTAGGATATCTCTGTATGTCAAGTAGAAACGTCAAAGTGTGCGTAGACTGTTGTGTCAATATATATTATACAAATGTATCCAAGCAACACCCTTGTGTTGTCTATTTTAAAGAAGTTATCAAGGTCCTTTAAGAATGTAGATATTACATATTACAAAATGTGCGTTCCACATAATTTTGGCTCAACACCAATCTTTGCACAGACTTCATCGGTCAACGCTTCCATGGTTACACGTGATTTGTGGTGCTTAAAGTATGAACACGTGTTTATTAAGAATTACTAGTAATTTTAAATTTTCTTAGGCTTGGTTCTATTATTATTTTCTTTGGCTTGACGAGCTGCTGCCTTCTTGGCTTGGTATGTCATTCTATAAAAGTTGATAAAGAGCAACAAGTATGAACTGAGGAGAGCACAACCAAAGAGAGCAGAGGTTTCAGTACCAGCGCAACTTCCCTTGTTTGGCAAGTGAGGCCAGTAAGTGTAAGCGAAATAGGTGTAAGTACAAAAGTAAACAACGAAGAGATCGATGATGAATTGAGTGATTTGCATGGTGGTCAAGTATCTCTTCCACCAGATCTTGGCGCCAGCAGCTGTACGGAAGTAGTAGTAATACATAAAGACGTGTACTGTCAAATTAAGGACGATAGGTACCCATGACTACAACCCAGAACGTTAGTCGGAATATACACTTTTTTAATTTTTCACATGAATCTTATTCTTACCACAGAGGTTTTGCCGTTGAGCTGAGTGTAGCAAAGGACCATGGTTAAAGAGTGATGATAATAATGAAGGAATTCTACAATAGAGTTAATACCCACACCTACACATATATAACAACAATAACTTACCCAACTTCTTCTTCTTCAAGACCAAAAAGATAGTATCAATCAACTCCCAATACTTGACAAGATAGTTGAGGTAATAAAGCAATTCTAAGGGTTGTGTCCAAGATGATTGATCACAAATGGCAGCCAAGAATCCTTTGTGATAAATGATAGGAAGGATCTTCTCAACCATTAATACTAAAAGTGCACCAGAGACCAAGGTCAATAAGACATTGTGAACCATGAAAAAAAACTTCAACTTGAAAGCAGGAAAGTTCTTCATCAGGAACTGACCACCAAAGATGACAATGAAATAAGTAATGCAGGTGGTAGTGACTAATGAGATGTTAGACCGAACCTCATCTCCTTCTCCTTTTATATATATATATATGCAACTTACCTTCTTGAACTGTAGACAGTGGAGTCACATTAGATGTATAGTGAAAGTCAGAAGCCTTTTGACCTAAGACGGCTTCATAAACCTTTTCGAATATAGGATACAGTGGTAAACCGAAAGGAGTTTCGGGGCTAAAATGAAGGCTCTTCAGACTTTCCATTTTTAGTGTTGACTTTAAAAGAGGAAGAGAGAAAAGAACAAGAGGGAAAGATGTCAAATCAATGAAAAAAAAAGCTTATTTTATATGAAAATTTTTTATTTTTTATTTCTTGTTGAAAAAGGGGGAAAGTTAACTGAATAAGGAAATAATTGAATGTCCGAAATAAGACCCAGTAAAAACAAGAGTGGCTGTATCAGACATGGTAAGCTTGACTTTCAAGGTATTCCGCCCATGAAACGAGGCCACTAGAAATAAATATATAATTAGTTAGATACCTAACGTCTATGTTACTTACTCTCCATTTAAATCATCTTCTTCTAACGTGTGATCAATCATTTCAACAATATCATTCAAGGGAATATTAAAGTGTTTAACATCAAAGTCAGTATAGGTTGCTCTTAGTTCGTGTCCGTCCAAGTAACCATCTCCATTTGAATCATGAAGAACAAAGAGGTAGTATTGGATATTGGTTTCATTTAGATTGGGTAAATCATCCCTCAGGATACCTTTGAAATGTTCTTGAATGTGCCTACAATTATCTTAGTGATTTGGTTTTGGTCAAGTCATTTACTATTTACTCCCTGGTACTTTGATAGTCGCCATAATTGGAATGATCTGGTTTTGCATAATGATGAGTTCCAGGTCCGGCAAAGACAGACTGAAGGATGAAGAATAAGACAACGATAAGCACTCGATACATGTAAAAAAAATAAACAAAAAAGAAAAAGACGAAATAGAGGAAGGGGCTTATTTTTATTATTGGTCATTTTCTATGAAAGGGGGCAACATTTGTTTATATCGACAGCATAAGAAATCTTTTTAGTCTGAGCTTGCAATACGCGTAATACCTTCCATTTTCGGAGCAAGTCATGCTTGATTTTTATTTGGATTTGACATTCATAAGGTGCAGTAGAAAGAGACTAAACAGTTGGTATATCATCACTCAGTACCTTTTATTTCAACCGCAAAACCTTATAACAGCTTTCACTTTGATATTATGTCCTATAGTGAGTGTGATGGATACGTATCACTTTTCATGATTATTCTTGCTGTTTAGCTTTGGAGCATGTAGCATGGAGAATGGCTAACATACATCTTCTTTTTGGAATCAGAGATATTCTTATGTAAAACAAAATACTACAGTCAACAACTCCATTACTTTAATGTTTTATTGAATCATTGTAGTACCCACACTACTATTCAGTGTTTAAATATAATATCTAGAATTGAACCTGATGTGACTATAAGCTCTGTTACACCTCAACAGAATGTGGTCAACGCAGTTTAAATAATTCAGTTTCTTCATATGCATTTATCATCTCTTTTCTCTTTACTTTATTCCGAATAAAGATACACACAGTCTCATCGTACTTTTACTTTGTTTGATACCAACTTCAAACTTAATACAACAAATAGACCCTTTGTACAAGGACAACCATACTTAGAAAGCATGGGCCGCTAGTAAAGGGCAACAAGAATTACTGTAGATGAAAAGTCACAATATAAATCGGGTGGTTTGGCTTAACCCTTTGGATTGAAGAATTTGGAGTTACCATTGCTTGAAACTTCAGGTCGTTTTTCAAATACTGATTAAACCAAAATTAAACTCGATAACGACAGAAAGGAATATTTGGTATCCATACGATGCTCAAATGCATTGCCGATGTTTCCTCTTTCGGTTCGGCTGAGGTAGGTAATATATTATTCTCCAAGATATCGTAATGGATTCCAATAGTGTTTGCATGATAATAGAAATGAAATTATACTTGTGGAGTGCTAGCTACCGCGAAAATGGCTTGTTTGACTTTTGGAGGAAGTTTGAAAGATATAAAGAAGACATTGTTTTATTATAATTAAAGGAAAATAAAGCGTGGCTGAGAGCTATTGTGGTAGGTACACCATTTGTCTTTAAAGTCTGGAATAATTTCAAGACCAAAGCCGCATCGTGAAAAAACTTTTGGAACCTATCAATAATCAAAATGAAATACCAATTAGTAACGACCAGCCATTATATTCACAAGGACAAATCGGTCAACTCTTTAAAGAGCTTAATAAACGACTGGAACTCTACGAGGTGTCTTGCTCCTTTACTATCCTTTTAGCCTTAACGGAAACACAACTGAAGTTGTCACAAACTAATGATCCTGTGATCGTCTTGATAGACTTACACCATTTTTATGTACAACCTGTATGTGATGCGACGTGTTGGATTCGCTGGTTGTACATACCAAAATGTAGAGGCTATGCTTGGCAGGCTTTCAATGGCTGCCGTAACGTATGTATCTTTTGATACGCGAGCTTACGCTCAAAGCACGGACACTGACAGAAAATCAAGCTTGCATTTCTTTTACGTAGAAAACTATACATTAATGAATGATAGTTATTCAAACGTGATCATGAGCGTTTTTTTTTTCAAGACATGAAAAACGCTTTGTTCAAGACGATGGCAAATTTAAGGCTCCAGAAACAGCAAAATTCCTATTATTGGATTAATGCAAGATTCTATAAATCAGAATATCCGTCATATTGCTGATGCTTTTGTTGGTCGCATTATCAATTTACAAAAAGGGTAGCCTTGTATATTCGGTTATTGAGCGTCGAGTGCTCTTGAGTTTGAATTCATGATAATGCTTTCATGTAACATATCTTTTGGTGTGAGTACATTTGTTAGCCAATGACTAATAGCAAGCTATAAGTGTAAGCAGATAATTATGCATCGGTAATTTTTTGGGCAGCTCTTAAATCACTGTCTACTTTAATTGCTTCCATTATATTTGTCAAATTGTCCATTTTCACCATTGTTTTATGCTTTATAGTAAGCTCTGATAGACATTCCAACATTCAAGTCAACATACTGAATACAAGGTCTTCAAGATGTTTAGAATTTTCAGATAAATAATTGCTTTCAAAAGCATCATCATTAAGAAATTGCATCTTAAAGTAAACAGTGTTCTTCATGAGAAAAAAAAAAAAGAGATGATATATCATAATTACACGTAAGTGGTCTTTGTTGGTCAAACTGATAGCATAAAATTAAAATGTATCAGTAGCAGCATTCTTTTTATCCCTTCTTCTTGAAAAGAAACACAAGCTAAGATGGATATTTTATAAAACCATGCTTAGCGTGGCACCATGTATTGAAAAGTTTTATTGGGCTACATCATAGGTAATGGGTAGAGATAACCCACTTAGAATTAGTCTAACTTCTGGGTGTAATGAAGCTGACAATAGTCACGCAAAAGACGATACACTGAGATTAATGGACAACGCCAGCTATTTGCTGTACAATCCATTGGAAACAAGCTGACCTTACTTTCAACAAGACGTTTGGCTGATGACCAATGGTGCTTTGCCGAAATACGATCTGCTATTTTACCAAGACTGTTGGGGCGACCGGTACTGTTTGTTTCGTGTGATGAAATTGCTATCGACTCTCAAGGTAAAGTTGAAATGAAAAGTTGTCACTTAAAACCAAATGAAATTGCTGTATAGCCTGGTTCATCTTGAGCCAGGAGAAGGCAGGAGCTAATGAATCTGTTGGAAAGCTTTTATCATATTTCGAGCACCAAAATAATGAATATGGCCACATCATCAGCTCATTTTAATGTTAATTAAATACTCCTAAAACGTCAAATAAAAGCAAGTTTTTGCTCAAGATTCATTGTTGATAATAACCAACCAAATGCTAGAAGGTTAAATGTTATCAGCTGATAAGTATAGTGGTCATCACACCTTACTTTACAGGTTTAACTATTCAGCTCCGACAGTAAAGGTCTCTAGACTATAGATTTCTTTAAAGTATATCATCATTAGTCAAACAAAGTCATTTATAATTTAAAGTTTAGCGTAAAAAGTACTATACAAGGAGTGTCTGAAGTGATTCCAGTCTTCATAATCCTTTTAAAGATTGTAGCTTCCACCACAAAAAGAAGTTGACATCGCTTCTTTGAAGCATAAACACGTGATGGGCGTTCCAACCGAAGCAAATCGGACAGGATAGCTGCGCCAGTAGTCAAGAAGATTGACTTTTTGCATAAAGAAACTTATTTCTGATATAGTTCTAGGCAGAAAATTGAAATAAAAAGACTTGGTAATATTTATTGCCACTATAGGCAATCTATTGACAATAACTTCAAATAAAGCACCTAAATCAAGAATATCTTCTAAAACAAATGGATAGTTATATTCACCCGACTTGTGTGTGTGTGTGTTCTGCAGTGATTTTCCCTCCATTTTATACTCAGGAGCAGGAACAGATTTAATTAAATATCATCCTACTGAGTCATCAGGGAACCATTCCGTTATCAGATGCTAAGCTATTGTCAGGGTAAAATTGTATTACCAATCTAGTAGTATTACCAAAAAAAATAGTGTGTGTTGCTTGATATCTCTGTGTTTGTACAAGAGTTTCAAGTTGGTTATCGTAAGATTCACCAAGATAATTTTAAAAAAGACAATCGTGTATAGGATAATATATTTCTTAAAAAGGGATTCATTTCGGACTCCAACTGTAATTATCGACAGAACAATAAACAAGCGCCTTTTTTATACATTTTCTATCAATCCCCGATGAACTCTAATCTTCATTTTCCCTTTTTTATTTTTGTTGTATTAAACCCTTTTCTTTATTGTCATAAAGTGAAATCTGGGGAATGTGTCAGAAATACATAAATTTTTGACAAGCATTACAAGTTTTTTATTTATCTTTTCGAAAATACTTCATTCCGTCAGCATCTATGGTTACATCCCAATGATGTGTTACAGAGGGTAACCAAACAGATGGTTTAAAGCAAAAAATGAAAAAAAAAATGTTACAGTGAGATTTTCATATTCTTTCGCTTCTTCTTATGGCTCCAGTTACCAAATTGGATATGCTCATATTAAAAAAAGGGCGTGATATTTAACGATGCTAGGACACAGATCACTCTGGTGATACGAGTTTTCATACAGGCTTGAAGCACTATTAAATGTCCGACAAACATTTATTATTTTTATTTGGCTGCCCTTTTTGTATAGATTTCTTCTTCTTTTCTGTTCTTCGATATTGTTGCTTGTTAAAGAATATGGTAACGAACAATAATCAGCTTGGAGATAAAAGGAGACAAAAGAATCTGTTGTCTTTTTTGACAAGCAGTAAATCTAATTTCTTTAGTAACAATAATAATAATAACAGAAAAGGTAAGACAGACAAAGAAAAAAAATTGTAAAGTGAGATATCAACATGTTTTTTCATAGCTATGATCACCAAGGGAATATTTGGTGCACCTTTAAAATCAGCCTCAATGTGTGGCTCATGTAATCAATACGGCTTGATCGTACCTGATCCTGTGTATAGGTGCTTTGAAGAAATTATGAGCAGAGGTAATGAAATACATGTGTACACTGAGATTTAAATATTCATTTCCGCATGATTCCAGGTCTGTTCACCGAGGGCATCTTTAGGCTATCGGGTGCGGCTCCCGATGTAGAGCAGCTGCAGTATGATTTTGACAGGCCACCTACTTATGGAAAATACTTGGACTTAAAAGATAAAGATATTCATGCAATCACTGGTGTTGTTAAGAAATATCTTCGACAATTGCCTGATCCTCCTATTCCAGTATCAAGTCATGAGAGATTTATTCAATTCTTTGGTAAAATGCCAAACGTCATTGTGTACAACTTTTCTAATACGCCCTCTCTTTTTTTTTATAGACGAGTCGTACTCTCATAATGCAACAATTAAGGCATTTGCTGCCATGATTCAACAGTTACCTAGAGAGCATTTTCATCTTGTTCACTATATTATTATTTTGACATCGTCTATAAGAAAACACTCAAATATCAACATGATGAACCCAGAAGCACTGGCTATCGTTTTAGCACCTGTCTGTACTGGACTCGAACTCAACCTGAAGGAAATACCTTCATGGGTAAAACGTCATACGAAAATGGAGGATATGAGTCATTTTATCGAAATGAATACCAAATGGACACGCATTTGGACATTGTTGATTGAATATAGCGACACATTACTTGATCTCTGGAAGAACGCAATATGGCAGATACCTCAATCTATGGGTAGAAACACCTTGCCATGCCGCCCTATGCATAATAAACCAGTGCATCAAAACAGTTTGCCTGTCTTCCAGGAACATGAAACACTATTGGAAATCACACCATTTAAGCCACCTGCAAGACGTGCAAATAGTACGAGTAACGAAGAAATATACAAGGTTGTTGTGATGAGACCAAGGTATAGCTCAAGGAAGTCATTACCGACCATTACACGATCCTCGCTCACACTGGATGATGAGGAGGAAGAAGAAGAAGAAAGTAATGATAGTGAGTCCTTTTATTCTTTATTTTCAAGGTCTTCAGTTAGTGTAAGCCACTGAATTATAGATACCCTTATTATTTATTCTTCCCTTAATAAACTTTTTGTTTTTACGTGTATATTTTGTCATTCTATATTTATAAGCCCAAACATGTTTTTTACGTCATTTTGATTGGCTCGTAAGGTTGCTTAATGGAGTATCTGCCATATAAGGGAGACATACCATTGAATAGTACACCCCAACATTTGTCATATCCAATCATGGTTCATTTTGGGTCAATAACGTATTAAACAAGTTAACTGAGTGGGGGATGAGTCACATGAGTATAGTTTTCCCTCTGCTTTCATGCTACTTCACATGGATATGCTTCCGAGGGAAGTAAAAAGTATAAAATGCCAAAAACACAATTCCCCCCTTTTTTATCATCTTTTTTCTTTCTTTTGGTTTAAACATGTCTCTTATCGCTCAAGTCACTCGCCGTCAATTCATTAAACCATTCACTCGTGCTTACTCTGCTACTCCTGTTGCTGCCTTTGGTAGACAAGGACCTATAAGAAAGCAACAAGAAGATCAAGTATCTAATGAAAACTCAACTGTATATGTTGCTCAAGAGGTTGCTCCTGCTGAAGATGCTACTTTTAGTCCTATCATCAACCACGTCTTTGATGAATAATTGACCATAGTTTGGTCCTTTTGTACATAGCTTTTTTACTTTTTTTTTATACCAAATAAACTCAAAGTCTTTCGACAATCTTCTTTGGGTTACACGATACTAAACTGCATTATTCAAAGAAAAAGTCATGCGTGTACAAACGAAAAGATCGACCTTTTAATAAACACAAACGGGATATACAAGATAAGAGTTCGTAAGTGCGTATACAAGCTAAGCCTGCTTACACAATTGTCAATCTGTATACATTAAAACCTTGTTCGTAAAACAACCCTTGTTATTGTACGTTTGTTTCACACTTGATCATGTTGGCCCTTGTTCAATTTATGCATAATTTGACCACAAAACGAACCCAAAGAAAGTTTCCTTGTTTGTTTATGTTAAAGCCATCAAGGACAAACAGTCACATTTTTGATTGAATTTTCGACAAGTATGGAATAAAGTGTTTTCCCCTATATTTTCTTTTTTTTTGTTCAAACATTAAACATGGTGACAACTATTCAAAAGAAATCAAAGGCCAAGTCTACAAAGCAATCTAAAAAGACTATTGAGAAACCAACCAAGAAAAATAAAGGCAAGTTTGGTTTGACATTTTTATTTTTCAATGACTTATTCCTTTTTAGGAATCAAAAAGGCAGCTGCAGCAGCTATAAAGTAAATACAGCCAGATCAGAATGTTGAATTTTATTGATTGTTATTTTTTCTTGTCTAGGAAAAAGACAAAAAAGCCATCTAAAAAAGAAGAGGAAAGCTCAGATGATGAGGACGTCTTTAAGGTATGTCTTTCTTAAAAGAGTGTCTTTACCTAAAAGGGAAAACTAATATGAAATTAGAAATTGCAGCAAATTATGGATGAGGATTCAGAAGCTAGTGAGAACGTATCTGATGATGATGATGCATTAGACAGTAAATCAGCATTTTTATCAGAAGATGATATAGATCAAGATACTGAGATGGAGGATAGTGATGTAAAAGAAGAAGAGGATGATGAAGAAGAAAATGATGATGATGAAACAGTGGACAGGTTAAATAAAGATATTGATCAGCATAAAAAGGATCTGGAAGAATTAAAGGAAAGAGATCCAGAATTTTACGAATATTTAAAGAAAGAAAATGATGGGCTTTTGGATTTCAATGAATCAGATGAAGAAGAGCGTGAACAGGATGAAGAAGAGAGTGATGTAGAGGATAAACAAGCAGCAATACCCGTTTTAACAAAAGACAGATTAAATGAGTGGATTCAGAAAATAAATGCCACAAAAGATTTTAGAGCATTCAAGAGTTTATTATCTGCATTCAAGACAGCAGCCAGAATGTCAGAAGAAGATGACAAGATTACGTTCACTATCAAGATTGATGACCCTAATGGTATTCACAATTACTCTACATTTGTAAAGTGATCTAATCGACTATTATAGTCTTTTCAAAGGTTATCATTACAACACTTCGATGTGCACCTACTGTTTTTTTACATTACCTTAAAGCTAAAAAAGAAGGGGATTCGCCCATGAAATCAGGTCGTTGGAACTTTTACAAGTCATATGTCAAGTCCTATCTCACCAATCTTATTCATCTCTTACGAAACTTGACTGATGCCGACATGCTTCGATTGACTGTGAAAGAAGCTGAAAAGTGTACAGTACTGCTCGTGTGCTTTGATCGATTGGCCAAAGAATACCTCAAGACCTTGCTCAATCTATGGTCCAGCAGCATGTCCTCAGATAGTGTCCGTATCCAATCCTTTCTGGCTATCAAATCTTTAGCTATAGCATCTGTGCCATCTGGAAAGGAATCCAAGGCACAGGGTTACCTTGACATGTGCTTAAAGAACGTATATCTGACCTTTGTCAAACACTGCAAAAACACCAATCCTCACACTTTGCCTGTGATCAATCTTATGCGTAATCTTGCTACGCAACTCTATGGCATCAATATGACTTTGAGTTATCAGCAAGCATTCGTCTATATTCGTCAACTAGCCATTCATCTTCGAGCAGCCATGAAGAATAGAACGGTTAAGGATCAAAACATGGTATACAATTGGCAATACATTCATTGCATTGATTTTTGGGCTGATGTGTTGAACGCTTATGCCGGGCCAATGAAAGATGAAGAAGGAGATGAGGTCGAATCACCATTGAAATCACTCGTCTATCCTCTGACACAGGTTGCCATGGGTACTATTCAACTGATACCTACCGCTCAGTACTACCCACTCCGATTCCATGTGCTTAGATGCTTAACCTCTCTGGTTCACAACACAAATACATATATTCCACTGACTGTCTACGTCATTGAAGTCCTGCAAGGAGCTGTTGCGATGGAAAAAGCCAAGAAAACAGGAGGTGTGCCCCTTGATTGGGATACTGTTCTTAAAGTACACAAGAAGATCATTCATGGTCGCATGTATCAAGATGATGTCCTGGATCAATGTGCAAAGGCTTTAAAGAACTACTACAAGGAGTATTACGAGAATGTTGCATTCCCTGAAATGGTCGATACAGATATTGTAGCTATCAGGCGATTCTTGAAGCATTCCAAGAGCTTGAAAGGAAAGGAAAAGTTGCTTAATCTGGTGAGAGAGGTAATGAACACAAGATTAGCAGTGTTGGACTAGGACTGATTTTTTTTATTTAGCTTGAGATTAAGCAAAAACAAGTTCGTGAAGAAAGAGGAACTAAATTTCCTGGTCGATTATAAACCATGTTTTTGATTTACTATAAATACATTGTTTGAATGCGTTGATACTTTTTCTCTTTAAATATACGTGATTAAGCATCCATTTTTATACATAACGATGTGAAAGGTATATGGTTTTATTTTATAGTTTCAAATAATGCTGTGTAGCGTTGATTTTAGATGTTGCAGACTGATTTATACAATATTTATGATGGCACATAAGCTTCATCTTCTGACACATAAGATACATAACGGTGCAGCTCTGTCAAACCACCAGCGACTAGTCCAAACGTTGCTCCAAAAAGGACAGAATATCTAAAAGAGCCTTTTGGTAGCTTTGCTATTATACATAAAAGTGAGAATCATTGTGAGAAAATACGATCATTTGGCTTACACAAGATAGAAAAAATGGTTCCAGTCGCGACACCGGCAGTAACCGAATTGACAACATCCGCCTGTCCCTTCACCTCGTCTAGACCAGCCTCAAGTGTTCCATACAATAAACAAAGACCACCTGTTCTACCAGCATATCGAATGCCTTTTTTGACTCCTCCGAGCATCATTTTATAATTTTTGGTCTTGTGATAAAAATACCATCCTTGAACAGTCGTCGGTAGCTTATGTGCATTTTCTGCCAAGTATTGCAGACCAGATTGTCTTCCTCCTATAAAGGCTCCTATACCAAAACCCCATAGGGAGCCGATCGTTGACATGAGAATAATGCGAGATTGTTTGTCTAATCCTGCTCGAAGCATAGATCTATCCACATTATTGTTTTCTTTAACGTTCTCTTCAATAGGTGGGACTGTTGTAAAACTGATATTATTATCAAGAGAAGGTATATGAGTATTAGGCGTAGGTGGAGCAGACATAAAGAAAACACAAACAACCCTTGGAGTCGTGACAATAAAAAGTCACTTTTAAAATCGGGGATTAAATTGCATGCAAATGGGCAACAGTCAAGAATCAGTACAAGACTGATGGACTGATAAAGCTTTTTGGGGCTGAACGATCTTCGTCTAACCCTTAATCATATTGGAAAGCGGTCAGGAGCCTCTAAGAGCAAAAGCTCAAATTCTACCAATACAAGATTGTATTTGTCGCTTTGATTATGCTGAAATACATTGCTGATGACTATGCTTATGCAGCGGTCTAAGGGTTCACCAAGGTGAAGGCATTTTTCCTTCATGCTACCAGCAAGATTTGTTGTCAATGAAAACAGTATAATCTATTCTGATTTTTTGTTTGAAAAAGTATGGGTAATCAGCTGCATCTCTGGAGCATTAGTTACAAGCAAAAAGGTGTCTTTGATCTTTGGAGGGAGACAAATGTTCAAATCAAACCAATATTTAAAGACAAAGGTAATCTTGTACCTGGTTTAATTCAGTTCTGCTGGGTGGCCAAAGCAATATACTATATTTTATTGATTATTGACGTTAATTTTATAAATTTTACGTAAAAAGGCGACAAAGAAATATATGTTTGAATAAAACGACATCATGTCAAGAGAGAGATAATGAGTATATATAGAAAAAAGAAAAAAAGTATGTCAGTATTAGAGTACATATCCTAATATTAGTTTTACTTACCACCAAGGTGCATTCTGGGGAGGGTAGCGATAACTACACAGGATTGTTTAAACAAGAAAAAAAAAAGGAACGGAGGACTAAGAAAACCCAGAGCATCAGAAGAAACTATTGGGGAACGTTCCAGATACACGCCAGAGAGCGAAGAGGGCGGGACAAGCGAGTCAGAGCAAGGACCATGAGGACAGGCTAGTTTTGATTGGTGAATCTTTGAACACTCAGAGGGACACTTGATAACTGCTGTAAAGAAGCAAAAAAAAGGACTCAATTAAAATGGGTTTTTATATGTTGTTCTTTTTCAAGTAGGGTACCATTTTACAAAAAAAAATTACTTTCCGGAAAGAGTGTATAACCCTTTATGAGTTATATAAGTAACACTAACGGTATTGTTGAAATAGGGTATAATGGAAGAGTTCATAAGAAGCATTGTGGCTCTCAAAAACGCCCAGGGCAGCACTAAAGCAAAATACCTATATAGCGCTGAAAAGCCAGAAACTGTTTACTAATATAATCAACCCGATTATATTGAAGCTGATGAAGGAAGAAGGCAGTTCTGGAAAGTCAGCCTTAGATCCTCTGTACTCCCTTCCACATCCTTAATATGTCAATTTCTATTTCCTATTTTCCTTTTTTTGTTGAAAAATGACATTTATTGATAATAATTCTAAAAATGCATTAATGCAGTAATCGTGTTACCTTACGAAAGGAAACATCAACTTCACTACAGAGTTGTAACGAATCTGAATGCTCGCTAGCATTGAAACTCAAGGATAAACTTGAATGTAAAATTAGATCTAATGCAGCAAACTTCTCAAAGGATAATGCTTCAAAGACAACTTATTCCACAGCATTCAACGTGCTGAAGCTGGAATATTCATTTCTATTGACAATATACACAAAAATTTACGATTAACATAAAATTGAAATAAAGCTGTACGATTAAACAACCATTTTTTCTATTAAAGAAAATGAAAAGACCACTATGGGCGCATTGAAACTATATAAAAGTAAATCTGTGCACTTTATTTACAAATTATTCGCATACTGATAAAAAAAAAATGATAATTTCAGACAATAATAACAACTTTTTCAGTTACGTGTCATTTACCAGTGCTGACCACATTTATCTTCTCCCAAAAAGACAGAATTCATTGCCTTTTTAATAATAAAGAAAGGATTGGTAATCAACTAAAGTGTAATCGCTATTGATCTTGTAATGTGACTGTATTAGATACTCGGACATTAGAAACGCTTTTCAAGCCTGCTACTTCAGGCTATTTTTTTTCTTTCTCATTTTAGGAAAATAAAAAAACCAACATGTCAACAACAGAATGGACCATTTTAGAAAAGCTATTGCTTTCTCAGGCTGTTTACAAGTATGGAGAAGATAATTGGTTTCAAATAGCGCGAAACTTGAAGCATCACGCTCTGTTAGATCGCCCTTCTGACTACTTTAATCAAAAGGTAAGACGCAAGGCAGCAAAAAAGTTAATTGGCTTTATTTCGATTTTTATTCTTAGTGTTTATAGAACTGCTCTCTTCAATATTACTTAATGATTGAAGACATGGACAAAGAAAAGTAATGACGACAAGTTATCTTTTCTGCTCTCTATCTTACCCTTGTTTTTTTTATCGTGTAGGCGTCAACAACAGTCTCTTACAACCCAGGATATGCCAGTCGTCGTACGTTTGGCAAGACAACTTTATACACAACGACTAGAAGAATTAAAAAAGGAGATAAGCGAAGATGAAGAAAAGTTCTTGGCACTCGTATCTGAAATTGAGGAGATACGCGCCGGAAAATGGGATAATCAGTTGTTGAAAAATAGCAAAGAGGACATAAAAAAGGAAGATCAGTCTGAGGAACATCTTTCGGAGTCTTTGGAAATAAAAGAAACTCAAGAAATAAACGCGAGCAATGATGAAAAGAAAACAGAAGAAATGGCTATTGCCGAAAACGAAGATAAGCAGAATGAGGAAATAGCACAATCAACAGATCGAGAGCAACTCGGACAAGAAGATATCAACGATAATCGAGAGCAACAGTCAGCGATTGATAATGATGTAGATCAAGCATCAAATATAGATGCACCAGTGCAGCCAGAACAAGAAAAGCAAACAAACGATATTGAACAGACATTGCAATCTTCTACTGAGTTAGATGCATCACAGCAACCACAACAAGAGGAATCGCCAAAAGCAAAACTAGAGACAGTAGATGAACCAGAAAAAGAATCAGAGCCATCAAAAATAAGAGACACATCCAACGAGAGGGACACTGTTGTCTCTGCTGAGGAACCAACATCAATATTAGAGCTTAGCACTGAGGAAAGTTCACGAATGGCGCAGAAACGCCAAGCAGAAGACATAGCTATGTCGGAGGAACTTCAATTAAAACGTAGTAGATTAGATAATCGTGAGGAAGCTAATGCTGAAAGTGAGATAGAGAATGAACCCTTGAACGCAGATACAACAAAAACGGAATACTCCACAGGTAAGTAGATCATAAGGAGAGAGGAGAGCATACTCATATTCAAAACTTTGTTTAAGATCTGGATGTCAGCCAAGGCACGACTCCTGCTGAAATAGACTATACAAGAGATGGAGAAGAAAGTGGTGCAGGTGAAAGTAATGCACCTACGCCAACAAATGAACGCAGTGGTAGTCACAGTAAAAAGTTGAGCAAGGAAGACCCAAGGCATAAATCCTGGTTGAAGAATATCAACTTGCTTTGGCGAGAAATTGCGAATCATAAGAACGGTACGATGTTTATGAATCCAATTAAGGAGTCCATTGCTCCTCAATATTATGATATTGTAAAGAAACCCATGGATTTGAAAACAATAAAGAACCGAATTAGGGATGGAGTAAGTGCACTATAAAATAAAAATAGGGTATTAACTATGCGCCTTAGCTAATAAATACAACTACCGAATTTGAAAGAGATGTGATACTTATGTTGACTAATTCACTAATGTATAATACAGAAGGCACTGAAGTGTATCAGATGGCAAAAGAAATGCTAGATGACGCAACAGAGCAGATAAGGATATTCAAAACTGCAGACGAAGATACATCAGCCAGCACACATACAAGGGCTGCATCTATGGCAGCAAAAGAACGTAAAAAGAGTTTGGCTAATGAATAGAAAAATAAATCGCTTGATTATCTTTTTAAGTAGATATAAAAGGAGGGTATATTGTTATTTATTTATTTAATCATCACATTTCTGTTTCTCTGGAAGTCCTCCAACAGCTTGTCTCCGTTACCTTGTTGTCCGCGCGCTTTTCGAGACTTTTCAAACTCACCATCCATCATAGTACTAGAATCAAGTTCATCTTCATTGTAAGTTTCTAGAGTGTAGCCTTGCCATTCATACTCTTGAACTTTCATTGCGCTTTCTCTTTGCCAGACCGCTTCCATTTTTGTAGCATGATACCCTTTCCATTCTTCAGATGTTTCTGACTGAGATGATGCTCTCCTTGGACTGTCTGTGCTGCTATTAGGTCCAGGATAACCCTTCCAGACCTCTTCCTCGTCTTCTTCTTCGATTAAGCTACCTGATTTTGGAACAGGGTATCCTTTCCATGTCTCTGAGTCATTGTCGTCATCTTCATTCACTGGATATCCTGACCATTTTTCTTCTGATGCCAATGATGTGTTGCTCTGAGCCTTGGCCTTGATCAATCCGTGAGGTATGAATTCTCGTGCAGTTGGAGACAGGGTTGATTTTGGTTTACTGGCTGCAGTTGACGTCTTGGAAGCAACAGAGGTGCTCTTTCCTTCATTTTCTTTTGGTGATTCCTTCTTATCACTGTGTTCCACTTCCTTGGAAGTTTCTGGTGTGCTCTTTTCATCTTGGTTATGTATCTGATGTGGTGTAACCTCGTGTTTGACTGATGCTTCATTATTATTATTACTCTTATTATTATTATCAGTATTAGGTTTTAGACTTTCTGCTTTTGGAGCTTCAGTTACTCCGCCGTTGTCATTGCTGTTGTCGTTGTTGTTGTTATCATGACTACTGTTTTCGTCATCACTATCATCATCATGGTTACTATCCTTGAGTTCTGAACTTGGGTCGATGGATTTCTGGTTGACAACAACATCTTCTTCCGATACGTCATTTTCTGCAACCATCTCAACTTCGTTGCCACCAAGAGTCGGAGATGTTTGTAATACGAAGCTTGTACGTCTTGAAATTGAAGCACTAACTGGTGGCATATATTTCTGAACGTCGAAAAGGTCATCCTCTTCACAAGCAATTTGTTCCCCTTGCTTCAAAGGTTCGACTTCCATACTTTCATCGATCAGTTGATCTTTACGAAGGTAAACACGAGACACAAGCCAGTGATGCACAAGCAGGTCGCCGGGTGCAAGGTGGTTCAAGTTAGATGTCGGAATGACGGCAGTGCGAAGACCTTCGAGGTGAATAGGTTTTGATGCTGCAGCTATTGACGATCTTTGACTTTTCTTTTTATCACTTGAAGAATTCGAGAGTATATCCTCCAATAAAGAATCGCTAATGGTAGAATTGCGCTGGCAAAGTTCTAAAATGGAGATTTCAATATCCATCTTGTGAGCTCCAGGGGTAGACAACACAATATCTCCACCCAACATCTGCTGGTCTTCATTATCACCAGCAGTATAGATGGTTACAATCGACTGAATAGACGAGAGGTGAGCTTGAATCCACGGAATGGCAATCATCATATTACCGCTACTATTGCTGCCTTCTTTGCGATGGTGAATGTAAAGATAGAGCTCAAGCTTACTGCGAAGAACATTCCGGTAGGCCTGGTAGTTGTTGGCAGGGGATATAATTTGAGCCAAATCACGGAACATTTCCTTGGTACGTGAAGAACATGGTTGCCATATTCTCTTTAATCGGCGGATTTCAGGCAGTGTAAGAGCCTTCATGATGGCAGCAAACCCAGAAAAGTCACGATAGGCATGCAAGAGTAGATAGGCAACTCGTATCAAGTGCGCAACGAGACTATCCTTTGGACGAACAGGTGGTACAACAGCAGGTGTAGAAGTGTTGTTGGGTTTAGTGAGTTCAGCCCAGTAGATGAGCTGATGAGCCATACTGTGAGTCAAGTATCTGTGGAAGTCAACAAGATGAGAAAGCTTTGTCTGCTTCTGGTCTAATTGTAAAAGTGCTCTCTTGTTCAACAATACACTGGTATATAACTGGCAGTCGATAATAGCTATTTGACGAGCTAGCGTATCTGAATCCCAAAAGAAAGCAGTTGCTGCCTCAACAGATTGCATCTTTCGAGCTAGTGTATCAAGTCGCAGTCTTTCAACTTCTACATTTCGTATAAGACGTGTTGTATCATCAACCGTTGGAATCTTTTGTTTAGCTTCATTTAGTTTTTCAGATGCTTGCGAAAGAGCATTCGAGCAGAGAATGTACGATTGAGCAATAGGGGATAGTGGAATAAGAGGAAGGCCACTATGATCACTTGCTGCCATCTGTGAGAGTAAGGGCTAGAAAATAAGAGAAAAAAAGAGTAAAGAGTCCTGAGGCAGGCTGAGGTTGCTGAGATATTATTTTTTTATTTTTTCCACAGCTCAAATGTAATAAAAAGACCCCCAAATGATAACAAAAAGGAGCCAAAGAGAGAGAGTGTGTGTGTGTGATAATAAAGTAGTGAAGGGAAGAAAAGGGAAAAGAAACGAAAAGAAGAAAAAAAGAAAAAAACAAGACCTTTGCCTTTAGAAAAAGCCAATGCAGGATGCTACATTAATTTAGGCTCCGTTCATTTAAAAGTTTTTCTTCTCAGTCTTTTTTTCCATGTACAAGTTGCATACAGATTAGCAGATGAAATTAAAGTGAGAGAAATGAAAATAGACATCACGATTTGTGTTGCAGACTCTCAGCCTGATCTGATTGAACCTTTTTTTCTTTGTAAAGAGATACGAGCTCTCATTCAAAAGATTGCGATCGAAGGCTTGCATACAAGAGAGTTTTCTGTTGGAAACATTAGGAAATTAGCTTTTTTCATTTAAAGTCTTGGATAATTAAGACGATTCACCCTTTCACAGGAAACTATATTAAGCTTTCTTTATTGTTTTCGGCGGCTTATTTAGTCGCAATCCTGTAGTATTTTTCAAAGGTTCGGTTGTCTTTGCAAATGATTGTTGCTCCAACGGTAAAGTAAAATCCGGTAATCGTATATCAAAAATAAATTTAAGGAACGGTCAAGACTAGTTTATTTACTTGAAGATCTTATTCATTAAACCTGAAGCAAGAGCTGCATAATCTGTTCTCCCTTGTGATTGGTGCTGTTGTGCCTGAGAGGGCGCTTGATTGCCATAGCTTTGTTGCGGTTGCCCATAGGCTTGTTGAGCATAACCAGCGTTATGGCCTTGTTGTGGTGGAGGATAGTAGCTGCTATTATTTTGATTATGACTTTGTTGAGGAGGATAGTTGTTATTTGATGGTTGGGAGTAGCCGTGGCTTTGTTGTTGCTGTTGACCAGACTGTTGAGAATGACCTCCGCCACCAAGCAATGAACCAACCATGGCACCAATTCCACCCATACCTGAAGAGGAATGCTGAGCTTGTTGCTGTTGACCGCTTCCACCAGAAGAACCCATCAGCATACCTAGTAAACCACCAAGAGCTCCTCCAGCTCCAGCTTGCTGTTGTCCTCCACCTGATGACTGCTTGGACATGTACAGTTTGACTGCCATCATGGCAGCTTGCTGAATAGCCTGGCTTTTACCTGCTCCACCGGCACCACCTCCAGTACTATGTCCACCACCTGATAGATTAGAAGCAATTGACATGGCCATCTTTATCATATCCCCCATGCCACCGCCAGTTTGCTGGCTTCTTTGTAATGCTTGAACAGCTGCAGCATTACCAACAGCTTCAGCAGAATTATTCTGACCGGGATTATTGATAACCTGTTCATAATGCTGCTGGGCAGCTCGAATTTCATGATCTTGAGCAGGTTGATGGCTCGAGGTGTTGCCCATGATGTTTGAGAGTAATGCGTTATATTCATGACTGCTTTCTTCGGGTGCATAATGATATTGACTCTCTTGATGATAGCCTACAAAGTGTTAGAAAATAAGTTGAAATTACAAGGTATATAGCTTTACCTTGATTGGGTTGCCCCAAGTAACTGGCAGCTTCACCTTGGTTTTGATAATTGTTATAGCTCATATTCCTTTGATTAATTAGAAATAAAGAAAGAAAAGAAAGAAAACAAAAAAAAAAAGAACTAGTGACCTTTTCGTAATGCGCGCTTGGCTGAGTTACACATAAAGTCCGTTTCAAGTTTATAGTTTTGTTTTTGTATTTAAATAAAGCAGAGAGAAGTATCGCTTAAGAGTTTGCTTTTGGTATATATATATATGTATGTGTATTACTGTAGCACAGAAACAAAACCAGGTATTGCGTGGTGTATAGTGCCACCAGTGCCAAATGGCGGTACTCAAAAAACTCTTTGCAGTTTTGTACGCTTTGACTTGCGATTGCTCTCATCCAACCAGCAGTAAAGTCTGTAAGATTAAAAGTGGTGTGTAACGACTGTTAGTGGGAGAAAGAGATTATTTTTTCTGACCTGTGAGAATAGAATCAAAACGTGCATCTTATTTATATGAATTATGAGGATGAGTTACAATATGTCTACTTGCTGACCTCTACCAGATGTGAACCAATAACTGGGTGTATCCAGGTATAATCTACAGTGCAAAACCACCGTTTGAGCTTTGGATAGCCACTGATTGGGCAGAGGCTTTATTGCTGGTTGGCGATAGCAAAAACCTCAAACTGGAGAGACAAAAACAGCAGAGTTTTTTTTTGGTACCGCCATTTGGCACAGGCGGTACTGTACTAGCCACATTAGATCCTACAATCAAAATATGCCACACGCTAAAATCTTGGCACCCAACACTTTATATTTCGCTTTCCGAATTATCAGCCTCGCGCTCATCTGCTTATTTGTTAATGAAGCATTATAAAAATAGAAATAACCAATTTCCCTTTTCTCTTTTATTTCTCTTTACTTTCTCTTTTTTAAAAAAACAAACTATGGCTGTCGGAAAGCTTACCGTTGCTCCAGGTAAAGAGAGGAGAAAAGAAGAATGACAGAAAATTCATGAATGATAAATAGTTACTGCACGAGGACTTGCTCATATTGAAGGTAAATAAATAAATTATGAAGGCCCTGGGTCATTATAGGGTCTAATAGAAAAACCTATATAGGCGCCAAACTTTTTATTGGCTGCTTTCTTCATGAATCAGAAAAGCACAGAACACATTCGGTTGATGGCCCCGAACCTATGTGGTCGAATATCTTGACATGGTAGGTTAAGCGCTTTATTCATTATATATATATATATCTTACTCGTTTTATTCTTGCAAGTAATGTGTCTGAAGGTCAAAAGGTCTTGACAGTTGAATTGGTCAATGAAAGTCCCAACAGAGGCGGTCTTCTTGCCTATGGTAAAGTTGAGCTAGACCAAGTCTTCAACCAAGGTACTGCATCAAAATGGGTTGCATTAACTTCGGCTGCTAATGGTCAACCTTTTGGTGAGCTCAAGTTGGATTTATCCTTTAATGTAAGCATGCGACAACAGATGTGAGAAGGGCCAACAGGGGAAAGGGAACTAAAGCTGTGTAATAGGGTTCAAATACTATTAGCTCTGTCACTTCATCTTTTGGTAATATGAACCTGGCTGGTGGTCAACAAGTATCTTACCAACAAAGTACCACTCAAACTAATACTTCCCATCACTTTGGATCAGAGAGCCGTCAAAGCTCCTACTCTTCCCTTGGCCCTGCTAATCCAATCCCCGAGAACTATGGTGCTGGCAATCCTCCTCCTTTTACACCACCTGCTCCTGTCTCATATGGTGCCGATAGTGGTGGAATGCCTTCACCTGTTGGAAGCGGTATCAATACAGAAAATATGACTAAAGAAGAGTTTGAAGAAGCCAAGGCCAGAGGAAAGATTCCTACCTGGATGGTAAGTAATATATCGTTGCTTACTCACAACTATAACTCACACATTTCTCCATTAGAAATATGGTGGTGGTGTCCTGGCTGGTGCTGCTGCTATTGGCTTAACTGCTTGGGGAGCTCATGAATTGAAAGAACACTTTGATCAAAAGAAAGAAGAAGAAGAAAAGAAGCATAAATACGATCAAAAGCCGCCTATGATGCCTACTATGCATCATCAACCTCAAAATTTACCCTACAAAATTGATAATCATCAATACCAAGCACCTCCTGTTGAAAAACACCATAGTTCTGGTGCCAAGTCTGAGCATAAAGAGAAAAAGAAGGAAAAAGGAGAAAAGAAGAAAAAGAAGAAAGAAAGAAGAGGATCGCACTCTAGCTCATCTTCAGACTCTTCTTCCTCAGATTCTGACTCTGATTCTAGCCATAAGAAGAAGAACAAGCATAAGGATAGCCATTGGAAATAGATTTTTTTTGTGCATTAATAAACAAGCTAATCTGGTCCAATCAGAATTTTATCTTTTTCTTTCTCTACACTTTTTTTTTTTTTTTTTTTTTTTTGTATTATGTCGTTTGCTATACCAGGATACTTCTTTGATGTCAAGTCAAATAAATATTACAAGATCACTTCTTCTGGACCATACAGCATGGCTGAACTAAGGAAAAGGCTTGCTGCAGAAGAAGAAGAACGAGAAAAGAAGGCTACTAAAAAATCAAAGCCTATTGTACCAACACTTGGAGACTTTTTTAGACAAAGAGCGACTGGAATGAATCCCCAAGTGACGATCAATGGTCACATTGCCACACTCTTGACTTTTATAAAACCTCAGAGCAAGGTTATTTTGAACAAAGATTTTGAGGATCCAAAAGTGATCATGACAAGTGCGCCCAACTACGGCAACATGCTGGTTGCTTCAAAGCATCGACTGTTGTATAACATTGGGTACCAGATAAATCCAAGCTTTCAAATATGGAGACGTGGGCATTGTCGATACAGCTTGGAAGAGTATACGACCATAACCTCTGTTCACTATAGCTTTAAAAATGCCAGCCAAGACTATGACACCGTCTTACTAAGCACAAGTGATTCAACGATGCGAAGAATGGCTATACCTAAACAGAGACCATTGTCAACAGAAGAGATTTCTCATTTCTTGGACGATGCTGGAACATCTATACGAGATATTGACCATGTATTAGACTTACCCTCATCAGCAACAGAGCTTAAAGAGGAAGCCATGTTCTTTGCGTCTCGTGATATGTTTTGGACATCAGCAACAGACGATTTTTATGACAGTACCATGATTGGTGGAGATAAACATTTATACCAGCTAACAAGCAGTCTGAGACGTGTAGGATCAAGAAAGGTACGATCATCTGTCTTTGATGTGCATTTCTCAAAAAACCAGCCAGCCAACTGTTATGTTGGTTCAAGGGATGGCTCGATTAAGCTCATGGACTTGAGAGAGAACACGATGCGTTTTAACTTTATGTTTGAAGCATCGTCTTCAGTCACTAAAATGGCAGAACTAGACCGTCATCAGCTATTAACGGTCAGTATGGATGGTTCGATTGATATATGGGATAATCGAAGGCTAAGGTCAGACCCTGTTCGCAGCCTAAAAGGTCATCGAAATGAAGCTACTCACAATCTTGCGTTTGATATTGATTTGGATAACAAGATGCTATTAGTTGCAGGTGATGACGGACATGTCCGTATTTGGTCTTACTCCAACTGTCAACATAATCAACCTGTTTGGAAATCAAACAAGTTCCCAAAGCCTGTTACTGCAGCTAAACTATTTATTGATAAGCAATTCCCAACCATTCAACCCAATTGGTCAACCTATTGTAAACTAAAACGACATAATCCTGGTTTATTAATATATTCTGAGGAAGATGACAACAACAACATACCTATTGCCAGATATTTCAGCATGTAAATTATTTTCATTATGTATATATTAATATGTGTATAAAATAAGCTTTGTTTACATGAATGCAAAGCTCAACGTAGAAGCTTACTCTCGAGGGTTTTATTTACTTTGTATTTTTACTTAATGTGATAATTTATATACTATGAAATGTGTAAAAAAAAAAAAAAAAAGGAAAAGGTATAAAAAAAGCATATCAAACAGCAAAGAGGTCAATGTATGATGAAGAAGTACAAGCGCAGATTTAGCATAAAACGTAACAAAAAGTCACGAGGTTAATTAACCATCTTTTTCTTTTTTTCTTTTTTCTTTTTGTTTTGTTTTGTTTTTTCTTTTTCCTGTTTCAATGAATCACGGCAACAAACGTCCTAAAAGTATATTAAAGTATAGACTTGAAAATCAAAGACCAACGACTAGTACTTCACCTATAACACCTGTCGCTCACAGTTGGCTATCTCGGATACAGTCTAAAATATTATCCCCGCCAAATGAAGAAAACCAAGAGAGAGAAGATGGTGTTTCATTACGAAAACATGACTTGAAAAGAGTCACCTTTTCAGTAGGCAATCTCATCGAGGAACATTCATTCGCTTTTGATGATTCTCCCAGAGATGTCGAATATGAAAAAGAAAGACAGCTTAGAAATAAAATTCAGCAAGAATTGACACATGTTCGTTTGGCAGATTATTATGACCATGCTTGCATTCAAAGAGACGGTGAAGGTGTAATTGATCAATTTAGACACATCCTGAGGCATTGCCGGTAAATATATATATATAGATATTGTAAAAAGACGGGGATATATTTATACTGACATGTACTAGATCACTCGAGACTATTGATTTAAGTGGAGCAACAATTACTTTACAGCATGCAGGATCGTTTTCGGATATTTTGATGCTTAAATTTGGTTTAAAGTATTTAAACTTGTCTAATTGTAAAATGGATGATGAAGTAGGTTTCTTTGTGACATGTTGAAAATGTGTAACTCATATATTTATAGACTATTCGTATTTTACTCTGCAGCTTATTAGTTAGTAACACAGTTATCGAATTGAATCTTTCACAGAATAATATAAAGTCAAAAGGATATAGATACATCGCTATATTTATAAAAGAAGTAAATTATATCATTTTAATATTGTCATAGTAACTAATGAAAAAGAATACACATAGTCTAAAAAGATTCAATCCATTAATTTGTCAAAAAACAGTATCGATAAAAGAGGGATGCAATACCTTGCACAAGGAATACAACTTGCTGGCTCACTTGAAAAGTTGCAATTGGATGAGTTTATTTTAAAACCCCCTCAAATATTGCAACTACTCTCTGACGGAATCAAAAAGCATCCTGGTGGGCTTTCGACATTATCTTTATGCAATTATCGTATACCACCTTCATCTACTATTCATTTAGCCAATTTGCTCTCCAGCAATATATCCACTATCAATTTATCAGGTTGCCAACAATTTCAGATACCTATCCTAGCTTACGCTTTGATTAATAACAACACACTCTTACATCTTTGCTTATCAAATTGTAAAATAACATCACACAATCTATCTACATTATCAAAAGCATTATTAGAAAATAACTGTCTGGAGTCATTAGATCTATCAAAGAATCCTTTAATAAGCGATAATGACGAAGGAGTAAGCACATACATCATACGTTTTACTATAGAAAATAACTGACTTTTCTTTTTTCTTTTTAGATACTTGAGTTGAAAACTGCCATTGCTAGGAACCGTGGGCTACAGAGCTTAAACTTGTCAGAAACACAACTCGATTCTGCTGCGACTATTGCCTTGGCAGAAGCGCTATCGGAGAATACATGCCTGAGCCGATTAGACCTGTCAGGGAATCCTCAGATAGACATGGCTGGCATCTTGGCTCTTTCAATATCCATTAAAATGAATCATACCCTTACATTTCTCGATATCAATATTCCCGTAAGTGATAACTATAAACAATTCCTGTATTATACTAATCATATAATAATATGTAGCCTCACGATGAAGAATTGGCTAATTTACAAAACGATATCGTGGCAGTTTGTACGACAAATATGCTTCAAAAGATAGAGCAGCAGCGACAGAAACAACAAACGCCTTCTGCCTCATCGTCATCTAGTAGTAGTAGTAGCAGTTACAGTGATATCGATTTAGATATTCAGCCAGTCAAGATACCTTCAAAGTCAGTAACTGGCTTACTTGATGAACCCGAATCATCTACTGAACTCAGCGTTGTTGAATAATAAATTTCCTTTATGTACATTACCATCGTTGCTATACCATTTATTATTATCATTATTATTATTACTAAATATATTAAAATTATTGACAGCTGCTTATACATGAAGCGTTGGTGTCCCTTATTACATGTTGACCCCTTTTTTAAAACAACGACAGTGTAACAAAAAGACAATCTAAGAAGGGTTTTTCAGCAGAACCTATTCTTTCTCCTCTTTCGAAAAGGATAAAGAAAAACTATCTGTAGCCATTCAGAATATGTTCTATACTATATTTTCTGTCTTTGCTGGCTAAGAAAAAAATGCCTTTGATAGCATCATGAAGAGCTTCAAAACCATTTATGAATCTACAAATCAAAACATAACAATGAAAACCCTCTAACCCCTTCAGGACCCTCAAAGGAGCCACGGTGCTCCTGCATTTAATGCGCTGTACATAATATAGTACGTTATTTTTATTCATTACTACTATTATTTTAAAATTCATTTATTTACAATATTTACACATATAAATACGCGATGATGATTAGTTTATACAATGACAGGTATCAAAATTAACTCATGAAAACATGCATCACATACACGATGCCAATCTAATGCCTTTTGTTCTACGGATGAAAATAATGGTAACTGGTTTAAGCTATGCTTATGACACAAGATTTTGCCACATCTATAATAATAAATCAAATTAGTGAAAAATATTTTCAGGCGAGATGGTTATTTCCTTTACCTTCGACAATGATGCTTCCTTTGTAATAAAGAGAATTGAGTAAAACAGGTATCAAGCTGACAGTATTCGACTTGATCATCTGGTATCCATAGTAACTTGGGCAGTAATTTGAACTGATGGCGTAAACTTTGGTCAAGATGAAGCATATAACTGTATCTAGTTGAAGCAACGATACCTGTTCCTGCAATAATAAACTCTCTTATTCCGTTTTGATTGTCGAATGAATGAACGGCCTCTCCGGTGCCGACTATTCCTCCTATCAATAGGCTCATCTTGTATCTTAAATTATTTTCCTGATTCTGTTGTAGCTCAACACATTTTGGGTTGCCATAGAAGCTGTTGACGCTCGTTGCACGTGTGCTATTGCTTCTATAGTAATCTTGCTCTGAGCTCTGCCACGTTGATGTCGTCATGAATGACCTTCTATGGTTATCATGACTGCTGCCAAATTGCTGTTGTTGCTTAGGCCCTAAATCATGATATAGCTCGACTAAATTGTTGATGAGCTCCAACTGTTGACGAGAGACCTGTTCGCATTCATCAATTCTCTGCTGATAAGCCTTTTCTCGAAGTTCGTATTCTTCCATGATCGACAGCTGTAATGACTGAAACTCTCGAAATTTCCCTTCAGTTGTTAACAAGTCGATTGAAAATGATTTTAGTTGTTCAGCATGGTGCATCAAGTAGGATAAAAGGGTATCAACATCATCATCGCCATTTTGTATGCGGTAATTTGTTATTGTTCTCGAAATTATCTGATTTAATTCAAGCTGTGTGTCTTCAAATTTTTCCATTGTTCCTATTCTTCTTTTTCTTTTTGATAATGTAATGATCGCATCATTAGCTACAATCATGGTTAAAAGAAATGAGTAAAGAAAAAAGGAAAAAGGAAAAAAAAAAAAGAGAAATAAATGCAAAATGACTCACGATGTAAAGTGTTGAGAGGAGTATTATCATTGTGAATGGATGATTCAGGGGAAGTGACGTTGAACTGCATCGTATCATCATTACTCTCTGCCTCCTCTACTATAATTTTTAATTGAGACTGTGTCCATTTATGTTAATATCATGCCCCTCTCTCTCTTTTTTTATTACATTACGTTTATGATTATCTGTTGTTGCATTTTATAAAGCAAATATGATGTGTTTATTCTTTTTTCTTTTATTCAATTCCATATCACAAGAACATTTAAATATGAAATAAAAAAAGAAAGAGAGAAAAAAGTGTAAATAAGGAAATTACAAACGAATGCGCTTAACTGCTGCACACACTTGATTTATGATAAAAAAAAGCTAAATTATAGCCAATCATCTTGTTTTTTACAGACTCCGTTTTATCAGACCTTTTCATTGTACTGTCAGGCTCTTGATGACAAAAGTCATGGCATATTTTCCTTGGTTATTGTTTTTGTGGATGATGGTAATCTATGTTATCTATTCTTGACTATTTAGTATTCGCTAAACTAGTATCTTTAGTTAACTTAGAATCCATAGTGTTGGTATTCATAACATTCTCTTGTACCTATAATTCCGTGTCAACTACTTCCGCCAACCATGTTTTTAGTTGATTTAGTATTATAATTCTTCATCCAAGCAAGTGTGCACTCAATAAGACAAAGACTTTCAGTAATGATAATATATGTACTGATTAAACTATTATTAAGATGAGAAAAAGATGCATTATTATTCTTGGAGCAACTTGAGCAAACATCACAGTCCTCCCCCCTTTTTTTTGTGATATTTAAATTTGAAAGGCTTTTTTTTATGTTCAGTCTGACAACTGTTCTTTTTCCGTCATTAAACCGTCTTTTTCAAAAAAGAATAATGAGTACTAAAGTCTACGGTGTTGCCAAGAATGGGGCAACTATGAAAATTGAGTTAACTGAAGTGGAAGACAAAATATGTAAAGTACTTCAAGGTGTTTCCGAGCTAATCGCACAAAAGAGACCTGACTTACCTAAAATTGAATCTAGAATTGCTGGTGGTTGGGTTCGCGATAAGGTAAGCTATGATTATAAACTCAAAGAGCATGATGTAATTATAAACAAAAAACATATTAGCTCCTTGGAAATGAATGCAATGATTTGGATGTTGCTGTGAATGATATGATGGGCTATGAATTCGCTACTTTTGTTAATGAGCATCTCAAGAATCAGGGTGTCGCTACCAGAAATATTGCCAAGATCGATAGCAATCCAGAAAAGTCGAAACACTTGGAAACTGCTACAACAAAACTGTTTGATCGTGATGTCGATTTCTGTAATTTACGTACAGAGGCTTATGAACCAGATAGTCGTATACCAAGCCAAATTGTAAGCAAACAAAAAAAAAAGCGCATAGTCATTCTCATTCTTGTATACTAGACATTTGGTACACCTACAGAAGATGCATATCGTCGTGATATTACGATCAACAGCTTATTCTACAATGTAAACACAAACGAGGTTGAAGACTTTACTGAACGCGTAAATATATCAGCAATTTATACATATGACGCGTATATATTAATTTGATGTTTTAGGGTATTCATGATCTAATTTATGGTATCATCCGTACACCACTTGAACCATTCGAAACATTTCACGATGACCCTCTTCGTGTTCTCCGATGCATCCGTTTTGCCAGCCGATTTAACTTCCAAATGACACCTGAGCTTTGTGAGGCAGCCAAACATCCACAGATTAAGAACGCATTGATTCATAAGATCAGTCGAGAGCGTATTGGAACAGAATTTGACAAGATGATAAGTGGCCCTCATCCGCTCCTGGCACTTGAGCTTATTCAGCAACTCGAGCTCTACCCTATTGTCATGAAGGCACCTGAAGATATCAGCAGTGGAACCGTTGGTAGTGATCAAATGGCCGTGGATGCAGTAGGTGCTGTCACTTGGCTAGAACAACAGGAGACAGCGTTGACGCCATCAAGTAAAGCAGAAAAAAGAACAATGTTCTTGACAGCCAGTGTCTTGCCATTCCTGGGTGTAACTGTTGAGCAAAAGAAACGATTCTATCCTGGTGTCCAAAGCGTGTTGCGTGATTCTATAAAGACAAATAATGCAGATATCAAAACTGTATCAAGCATTTTCCAAGGAATTCCTGTTTTGGCAGAATTGGCCAAAGAAAATACACAACGACAGATCAAACGTGCAGAACTGGGCATGATCATTCGTGAACTAAAAGAGACATGGAAGACAGCGATTAAGTGTGCGGCCATAAAGGAACTTTTGGATGTGTATCCTAATGCACCTTGGAGCAAACCTAAAGAAATCCAAATTGACAATGGTGTATGTCAAAAGTACGTAGATCTGATCAAGAGAGCAGAGGAATACGGCATCACAAACTGCTATGAATGGAAGCATCTGATCAATGGAAAGAGAGTAGCTGAAGTGGTTGGTGTAAGGCCAGGACCTGATATCACAGGGTTATTAGAGGTGCAAATGAAGTGGCAACTTGATAATCCGGATGGAACAATAGAAGAATGTGAAAAAATGCTGTCTGAATATTGGGCAAATAAAAAGCGATAATTTTTCTTTATTGTTTTACACGTTTGGTATATGTCACTTTAACTTTAATTTCGTTTAATGGTTGATATCTTGGTCTATGATTAATTTCTGTTGTTTCTTGTTCTTTTGATTCTCCAAACTCTGATTTCATTATAGATTCCAACTCTTTTTCCATTCTCTCTTCATAGCTTAACTCTGGTGATGCACTTCTATCGACTTGAACTATAGGTTGCTTTAAGGGTAGCTGTGGCACGATATCTTCTTCATCTGAGAAGTCGTATTCTCTTACTATCGGTATATTTTCTTTTTCTCCGTTCGCCGTCTTTAGATGTGCTACTAGATTTTTCTTTTTTGATTGCTGTTGTATTGGCTGTTGCTGTAATGATTGTTGCTGTAATGATTGTTGCTGTAGTGGCTGTTGCTGTAATGATTGTTGCTGTAATGATTGTTGCTGTAGTGGCTGTTGCTGTAGTGGCTGTTGCTGTAATGATTGTTGCTGTAGTGGCTGTTGCTGTAGTGGCTGTTGTTGTAGTGGCTGTTGCTGCATTGGTTGAAGATATGATAATGGTTGCATATGGTTAAAGTGCGTGTTAAAAATTGGTATATGAGAAGGTGCGTTGAATATGTTTGTAGTTATTATAGAAGAATACAATGTATTTGAAGGTAATACTTGTTGTTGTTGTTGCTGTGGTAAGATGTATTTATTACGTGGTTGATAAGGGGCAGGATCAAATGCAAATACATCATAAGAATCTATAGAGTTACTATGATTATACGACTGTTGTTGTCCTGATACAGTTGCTGGGCCAATTGCTGGATAAGATACAGGGTAAGATATTGGGTCAGTTGCTGGTTCAGTTACTGGATAAGATACAGTATGAGTTATTGGGTGAGATATTGGGTGAATTGTCGATTTGAGAGGGACGAGGTTTTTTCCTACAGCTTTTGTTTTTGTCGTCTTTTTGTTTTGCTGTTTAGGTTTCTTACGAGGCCGACATATTGTTGTTGGCTTTGGTGATGATGGCGTGTGTCTAGTGGAGGCTACCATCAACTCTATCTCTGCTTCTTCCTCTGGGAAATCAAATATGTCATTCTCTTTTTCTTCAACTGCCAAGTCACTGCAAGAACTAGAAGAGGATGATAGGGAGGACTGTACGACAGGGGGAGAAGAGTCATATGGAGGTGAAGGTAGATCTGCCTTGGGCGTCTCTGGCTTTAATACGCGAGCCTTGCGTGAGTAAGTGACAATGGGCCTCTTTCTGAACCCTTCAAAATTTGAAAACATAATCAGGTAACAAAAAGTACAAAAAATAAAATAAAAAAATTCAGGACACCAACAAATTAAAGGATAAAAAGTCGCGTAAAAAAAAACTTAAGTTGCAATGTGATTGGCCAATGGTTATTTACCTATCAAATCCAAGAGTACGATTTTAGCCACTAGGAAAAGAGAAGGGAATCATTACAAATAAAGGCTGAAGTTTGACCAAGTCTTTTAAAGCTGTAAATTAACAACGTATCAAGCATTTTTATGAAGAATCTAAAGTACAAGGATAATCTGCCACGTGCTCAGTACATTCCTTGTCAGTAACAGTTATTTTACTAAAGATTTCAGGAAACACCTACGATGTTTCATTCAACAAAGGCAATGATCTCTCAGATATCATAAGCATGGCCCTTCAACGTACAACCTCTCTCTCTCTCTTTCTGAGATGTTTGGTATTGCTGGTGAATCAGAAGAAGCTGTGCAAGGTTCGTACTAGTCTATTCCATTATTTCTTTTCTCGCTGTTCTACAAGACCGAATAACTGATGGTCATACAATTGTTGCTCGCACAATAGTCGTTATCTAGTGCTATCATCGGTGCTCTATGTGTGCAAGTCGTTTTTCTATGGCTTGGCGCCTTCCATGAAGAATGTATCTATTACAGGCATCTTCCATCGCACTTACTGTTCTATATCGCCTTGAATAACTCGTGTCTCTGGTTCTATTGCTTATGGTAAATAGTCGTACATTCTCCAAAGCGGCAATTCAATGCATTTGTTTACAAAAGCTAGACAACTGTGTAGCATGTCGAAAATGCCTTGAAAGTTTTGATCAAGCAAGGGAGAAAGAAACGGAAAAAATGCTAAAAAGGAAAAGCAGTGAGAACACGAGATCAAAGCAGTAACTGTGTTTATATTGAGGCAAGATTCAATATGCACGTCAGGTATAATCTGGATGGATCAAAAGTAGGTACATGCCCCCTTCCAAAAGTCGCTCTTTTGGTTCCAGCAGAAAGCGTCACTATCACGTAATCACTCATGTCTTTACTGAATCCGCGTAAACAAGTGATGACTTTAATTATCAATGGCGCAAAATAAATAAAAATGATGTGCAAAATAATCAAGGTAGCCTTCTTTATTCAGCTCGGGAAACACCAGAGTTAAAGATTGGAAAAAAGACAAACTTTATTTTTAAAAAAACTTCCTTGTACATGTTTCAAAAGCTGAAAACCGAGGCAAAAAGGGCTTGCCTTGGGGAAAAGTAACCAGAGCGTTCCTCATCTGTCTTTTTGGTCTCTCTGTGTGGATGCTGTCATCACCGTGTGAATATAAATTCTAAAGAGGGAAAGAAAACAAATAGGGAATAAAGTTAGTAGTCGGTCCGTGATATTGTGGGGTATAAAAAGGACAGATGCCACTTTTTTCATTTTTCATTGCACCTCTACACACATATATACACAAGAAAGAAGAAGGAGAAACTATACATTTTATAGATCTATCACATGGTTCATTCAAATCAAGTCAATACAGGTTGCTCATTCTGTGGAGTTACTGGTCACATAGCATGGAACTGTCCCAAACGTCACAAACCACATAACTGATCGTTTGATGTTTTTTATGTAGAAAATTATAATACTAATACTAATGATAACAATAGTAATAAATATTAAAGTGCGAACCTATCCATCTTGACTGTATGTGATCTTATTTGGCATGTTGGATATCTGGTTTGAAGGCCCTGTTCTATTTCTTTGTTATCAATATCTAAACCTTGAGGAATGCTAAAGCTCATCAATAAATGATTTGACACCCAAACTTGAAACACCTTTAATGTTCGATTTCCCAAGCAGTTAGTTCTTACTTCCCACTCATCCAACTCAGCCCGAGGATCATCGGTGACAAGGTGGGTTGTGTAGACAACGGGATATTCTAATATATAACCAGTCACTGCTACCATGCAAGTTGGAATGATGGGAGAGTAGTAAAGTGTATCTTGATTTGACAAAAAAGGTAATAACTGATTCTGTAACCAATAAACTAACTGACTGGGTACTGAGTTTGTCTATTTGAATAATATGAGTGAACAAATAAGAAAAGAGACTGGTTTTACCTTGATTGGCTCTTTGTCTTGAACATCAACAAAGGTCAATTGAACATTGTTATTTAATGTCGATTCAATGTATTCTCTTAATCTTTTTTTGTGACAAACAAATGTAAACCGATCCTTGAATTGGAGTAGAACGAGTGAAGGGTGGTCCTATATATATGATTGATATTCGGTATTTAAAAAGCTTTTTTTTTTCCTTGTACTTTTCTTATATCTAATAAAATTTTTGCTTGATCCATATTCACTGAACATACATCGATCAAATGGCTTATTCTATGATTATATAAACATAAATAAATATAAATATAAATAGAATGTTTGATGAGTTTGATAAACCTTGAACCAATCGCAACATAACTAATATCTGCATATAGATGAAGTAAAAGTCTATCTATGCTTTATCTTTTTGGATTACCTTGAGCTAATGATTCCAACTTGGTTTTATTTACTGATTTGAAACATGACTTGAGAATAGACATCATTTAAGGAGATATAATATTAAGGAGCTATTCCTTATTTAAGGGTGGTCCAAACTATAAAAAAAGTAACAAAAAAAAAATAAAAAAAGAGGTAGAGGAGAAATGACACTTGTATATATTTTTAACAATTATTTGTTGTTTGATATCAACACACTTTACGCCCCCCCTTATTAAAATTATCTGTTTTTGAACCCCTTTTTATTTTATTTTTTGTTCTTTTTTTTGTTTCTTTCTTTTTTCTTTAATCTTTTATCAATGTCTCCTATCTTTTCTTTTTCTTCCTCTTCTTTTACAATAATTTATCGTTCAAAAGAAATAATATTATCCAAGATAAAACACAGCATAGAAGACACAAGTATGCCCTCAAGTCATTCGTCATCGTCATCTTGTGATGGTCAACATTACTTTCAGAAAGGCAACTACTATTTATTTGGAAGAAAAGGATACCCAGTCAATCAGGAAAAAGCTATTCACTACTACACATTAGCCGCTACAGAATGTAATCATGTACAAGCCGAAGGTATTATTGGATTCTGTTATGAGTTTGGTCTAGGACTACCGAAAGATTTTGTTGAAGCCGAAAGACGTTATTTGGCAGCTGCTAGTAAGGGCGACGGTCTATCCATGGCTCGATTAGCCTTCCTTAGAAAATATGGTCGTCCTAACGTACGGATCAATCGAGTTGAAGCAGAGGAGTGGGCAGAAAAAGTGAAGCAATGTCCAAATGCAGTGGATTGGATAGTTCAGGCAGCTACACTAGATGCTGATCCGTCTGCTCAATATGCACTGGGCGTGTGCTACCACGATGGTGTGGGGATGCCCAAGGATGAAAAGGCCGCTTTCCGGTGGTACAAGGCAAGTGCAGAGCAAGGACATGCTCGTGGTCAAGGTATCCTAGGTTACTGCTTCGGTGAAGGCTTTGGCGTTGCCAAGGATGAGTTGGAAGCCATGCGTTGGTACCTTCTGGCCGCCGCTCAGGGCGAAACCGTTGCTATTTATAACGTTGGTTACTGTTACGAGGACGGAATCGGAGTTGAGAAAAATGTTCAGGAGGCTGTCAAATGGTACCGCCTGTCCGCTGAACAAGGAAATGCCTTTGCCCAAAACTCACTTGGTTATTGTTATGAAGACGGTATCGGGGTCGAACAAGACTTTAAAAAAGCCACTTACTGGTACAGGAAATCAGCTGACCAAGGTTATCCCTGGGCTGAATGCAATCTAGGCTATTGTTTCCAAAACGGAATCGGAGTTGAGAAAGATGATACCTTGGGTGCTTATTGGTACAAAAAGGCTGCTGTTCAAGGCCATGCAAGAGCTCAACATAATCTCGGCTTTTGTTATCAGAATGGTATAGGCGTTGAAAAGAATGAGCAGGAGGCGGTCAAGTGGTACAGACGTTCGGCAGAACGAGGCAACATTTTTGCCTATCACTCCCTAGGTTATTGTTATCAAAATGGAGTTGGCGTGCCGATAAATGAAGAAGAGGCTGTCTTTTGGTATATGCTCAGTGCCAAGGATAACCATGCACCCGCACAACTTTCACTCGGATATTGCTACAGAAATGGCATCGGTGTGCCCAAAAATGAACGAGAAGCTATCAAATGGTTCCGCAAGAGTGCGGAACAAGGAAACGCCTTGGCTCAAAACTCCCTTGGCTTCTGCTATGAAGAAGGTCTGGGCGTCAAGAAGGATTGTCCTCGTGCTGTCTATTGGTATCACAAATCAGCTCGTCAGGGCAATCCCTGGGCTCAGTGCAACTTGGGTTTCTGTTATGCTAATGGCATTGGTGTTCAACAAAATAATGAAAAGGCTGTTTACTGGTACAAACTGGCTGCTGCTCAGAATCATGCAAGGGCTCTTGATAAACTGGGACTTCATTTACAGTCCGGATTAGGCGTAGAAAAGAATCTTGAATCAGCATTCAAATCATTCCTCAAATCTGCAGAACAAGATCATGTAGCTGCTCAGTATCATTTAGCAAATTGTTATGAGAAGGGATTAGGATGTGAAGTCGACCTTGCAAAGGCAACTGCTTGGTTTGAAAAAGCTGCTATAGGTAAATATCATATAGGACGCTTAAACATACCCCATACTCACAGTTGTGCTTTATTTTTAGCTGGTTGTCGAAGTTCTCATGAAAGATTACGAAGATTACTCGTCAGGGCTTGTCTAGTGTCACCCGGATCAATACCTCTCACTTCTGACGATGACTTAACTTGCACAGAGTTCATCTGTGGATATAGTGCGCCGGCCGCATAAATGTTTAGTTACATAATATACACATATTCAACAAACACACCTACAAAAATAAACATAAATAAGTACAAACACAAAAAAAAAGATTCCTTTTTAATCATACACCTTTTACTACATGCATGATAGGAAGAATGAGAGAGAGGGGAGCTGTAGTATCAGGAACCTCAACATGCGTTCATATGTATAAAACCCTTGGCAATTTGTAAAATCAAAATACGGAAACAATTTAATAGAAGGGGGTGAATTTACTTTTCGCCAAGAACTCTTTGTTATTGATGCTCCCCCTCTCCCTTTCCTCCTTTATCCTTATGTTTTCCACCCTACAGATAGTACTAAAGTATATCAACGTGGAATCTTTGTATAAGTGTGCCAAAAACAAAGAAAATACTTATCACATCCCCTTACTCTCTTCTTATCATTCGTTCGTTGGACCCTTATCATTATGTCCATAGCTTCCCCCCCCCCTCCTTTATTTTCCCGCGCAGAGGGTCGAAATATGCTCTCTTAAACCCTTCCAAACATTTTTAAGCAAAACAAAAGATCCTCTGGATTTATTACAAATGTAACAAGAAATAATGAGAAGTTCCCTTTACTCCTTTCTGACCTTCTTAGTCTTTCTAACACCGCGGAACTTCTTTTCACGGTTCTTCTTTTCCTTGCGTTGCTTACGACCGCCCTTAGGAGGTTCAGCAAGACCGTAACGGACGAGACGGTATCTGGGTTCAAACTTCTTCAAGGCTTCAAGGTTGTCATAGATCAAAGCGAAACCAGTAGTCTTTCCACCACCAAAGTGAGTCTTGAAGCCAAAGACGGAAACAACTTCCTTTTCAGCCTTGTACATCTTGGCAATCTTGGCGCGAAGTTCATCCTTGGAGACATTGGCAAGTCCGGGATGGATGACATCAACGACCATTTGCTTACGTTGGAGCAAGCGGTTGGTGAGGAACTTGCGAGTTCTGATAGTGACAGTCGAAGCGTCAGCCTATATGTAAACTTGTTGTTCAGTTGACTGTGAACCCAAAAAGATTGTGTGTTTGGTGTGTATGATGTGTGTGCATCATGGGAAGAGAGTGAAAGAGAAAGAAAGAAAACTGCATAAATTACTGAAAACTGTTACTCTACCCTTGTTGAACAAAAAATTCACATCCATCCGTCTCTTTTCATCCATCCATCCATCCAATATATCTTTATCCATCTCTTTCACTCTCTTCTCCATTCTGCGTCGTTGTTTCTATTTTTACATACCATAATGTTCAGTTCGAAAGAGGGTTTGATCAGTTTACACTTTAGCACACATTATAGTGCTCAACTCCGCATGCTTTCCATTATTTCACACATCTGGACTTTTTCTCCCGCCACCGAACAATGTGTCTTCCGGGCAACTCAGGATATTCCTTTTTTGGTAAAGGGTTTTTATCATCCATACATTAAACAATCTTTTATTAAAGTAGGCACGCTTTTATCATCCATAGACCATTTTCAGAAATTATTCGCACACAATATAAGGCCAATAACAATTCTTTTGCTTCTTGTGAGCTCTTTTTTATTATTACTTGTTGTCTGAAATTATCATTTTTCTATCAGTGTGTGAATAACCCCTTCATTTAGTTGATAGTAAAAGATGATATAGCGACAAGCTGTTAAACCCCTTCTTTTACTGATAACAATAACCTCTATGGTCTACTATAATTTGATACACTTTATTTAAATAATGTTTATGCTTGAGCTTTAGCGTTATAAAATGGATAATCTGTGTACCCTATTGCATCATGAGTATAAAAAGTAGGACGATGATAAGGATTTAATGGCCAATTATTACGAAGACGCTCTGGTAGATCAGGATTTGCAATAAAAGCACGGCCAAAAGAAATGAGCACATTATGTTGTTGAGCATATTCCAATGCCTTTTCACGCGCAGTAGAGAAACCACCAGAAGCAATGAATGTACCCTTCCATATCTTTCGGAAAGGCTCCAGTGAATCGCCTGAAATGGAGTCAACATCAGCATCGACATCATAACGGCGCTCAATGAAGTGAATATAAGCCAAGTTGGGATGGTTCTTTTGTAACTGAGAGGTCAAATAGCTCCATGTTTCCACAACAGTATCATCTCTTACGCCGTTAAACGATCCGCCTGGCGAAAATCGGATAGCAGTGCGGTCTTCGCCAATGGCTTCAGCTACGGCATCAACAACTTCAAGAGCAAAACGAGCACGGTTCTCGATACTTCCACCGTATTCATCCGTTCGATTGTTGCTATTGGAGTTGATGAACTGGTCGATAAGGTATCCATTAGCACCATGCACTTCGACACCATCAAAACCAGCCTCAATTGCATTTAAAGCAGCCTGCTTATATAACTGAATCACATCCTTAATTTCAGACTTGGTCAATGGACGAGGTACTTCATAATCAGTATCTTCCAAGAAAGGGTTTTTCCCGGCAATAGGAATATTAGAGGCAGAAACGATTTGTTCACTATTAGGCATAAATGTACTTGACGTTGCGCGACCACCATGCCAAAGCTGCACAAAGAACAAACCACCCTTCTTATGCACAGCTTCTGTTGCTAATTTGTAGCCTTCGATCTGCTCCTTTGTAAAGATACCTGCTGTGTGTGGAAATGGGCCTGCTGATTCATGAATGGCGGTTGCTTCTGTGATAAGAAGACCACCAGGAGAGGCTCTTTGTTCATAGTATTCAGCAACCAATTCCGTAGGCACGCCTTCAAGAGTGCTTCGGAAGCGAGCTGTTGGGGCCATAACAACACGATGTTCCAATTGGTATCTTCCCAGCTTGACAGGACTGAATAGAGTTGTAATAGTCATAGTTTTTGAAGTAATACTTTGTAAACTACAGAATAGCAAAAGGTGTCTAGCTTTTATATTGTATGAAATGAAGACTTGATTATTAATTCCTTTTATTTATAGAAATGATATATTTTAAGCCTGATTTGTCAGACTCCATAGTCAATACTACATCTCAAGAATACTTTTTATCTCGCGGCCATTTACTCCATATTTCACTGTCTTTATCCCTACCTCCCCCCTTTTTTTTCTTTTCAAACATATACATAAACATATCAAGGCACTGTATCTATATGGAGCTTTGTTTATCAAATCATCCAATGAAAGGGAGTATGCTTAAAACCGGACATCCTATAGCAACGCACGGAAGATTTTAGCCGTTGTTACACTGGAGCAAAGAAAAGCTGACAAATTCGTCTTGTTCAATATACGGACCCATTCTGGAGCACATGACGGAAGAAAAAACAGGACAGTAACTTTTTTATCTTGCAAAATGAACTATTTGTTCATATGATATGTTAGATTGTCTAGCATGTAGCTAGTAAATCTCTAACTCTTGTTAAATTAAAAGAATAATGTTATAAAGTGAACTTTAAGAAATCTTTGGACTGCGTAATATACTTTGTCTGGTGCAAGATATCAAAATCAGATAAAGTACTGATAGTAAAAGCTCACTTACAGAGAAAAAACGCTTTTGAATCAGAGATTGTATGTTGATACTGTCCTATGGAGTCATTACTAATGTAGCAAGTTTGATAAACTTTATTAAAAGCTAATGAGGCTATTTTCTAAACATTACAACAATCTGCAGAAGACACACTCTTTTCCTTGATGAAGCCATTCAAACCACTATACAGCTCATCAATACAAACAACCTTTTATCAGTGTGAGTGTGAACAAATGTATGCTAAGGAATCTAGACTTTTGAAATCTTGATAATGGGTTCATAAGAGTATCAATTACAAAAAGTAAAAATCTTGGTCTGATGTAAATCTAGTTTGAAAGAACTTGATGCATATCAACACTTTGGACCTTTTGTCATTCAGAACAAGAGGCGTTATTTTGTCCTTAACTTAGATGACATCAATAAGAGGCTTATTCACTTTTTTCGATTGAGACTGTTGTGATTTTTTTGCATGAAATGAATAGTGAAGCTATTGATTTGTATTTGCAACGTTTATTATTGTATCACACTACGTGCATTATAAACATCAGTTGAATAGGACGATAACAGTTTGGAAAAACTACTTTAAATAAAATGACCTTTTGCTCTATTAAAAAAGAAGCTTTGGATTATTTATCACTAAGTGATAAGTCTTTGTATTTTAAACAAGAAAGTACTTTTATTTAAAGAAGAAAAGAAGTACCTAAAAAAGAGTTAGAAAGACTGTTTAAGAAGAAAATGATAAAGGAAATGTGTCTTCAGCTCGCTTGTTTGTATGCTATATATAACCACATTTTTGTGAGATATACATGTGTCCTCCTGTGTGATGTATGTGATCTAACCAGAATTAGGTCGTTTTCTCGCTAAAGCGGTTCAAACACTATCACCAAGCCAGATTAGCATAAGAGTATTCCGTGAATGGACACAGAAATAGTAGTACCAGAGCGGTTTCTATTTGAGCTACCACAGCCAGTACACTACATCTATTCACAACACCACTTGGATGAAGCAAAGTCGACATAGCTGGGGCCTATAGCGGTTCAAATCACCAACACAAGCACGACACCATGTTGGATACGTCATGGGAATCATCATGAACACATTTCCTTTACCAGAGTGTTTATAGGTATACCTCTTGATTCTGTCAGTGAGTCTTGAATGATAAAAGAGAAAAAAAGATATGGAAAAAAGAAAGAAAAGGGGAGAATCAAGAAAAGCTATTTAAATTCCATTTAAAAATCAACCAATCCGTGACGCGCCCTTGTCCTGCTTGATACTGAACTATACAGCACCATCTCTCCGAATTACTTTGAAAGTTATGTATTGCTCCTATCTTGAGCAGTAACTATTGAAAATTATGAACATGCCTTAAATGTAAACTCTTTACTCAATTGCGAAATTGTCTTCATCTCTTTTTTTTTTAAAAAAAAAAGGAATCTATTTATTGTGCAATCTTGCAGTAATGTCACGTAGAATAAGTGCATTAGGATGACTCGCATACAAAGTAATACCTCAGATATACAAGGTTTATGTTAGAAGAAGAAAGAGCGATACAACCAATAAACACAAGAGAGAGATGGCATTAAAGGAGTGAAAGCTAGTCTACAGAAAATAGAAAAGGACTAGACGGATGATCTAAGCATATTAATAATACTTTTTCTTAAGTAACATATATAGAGTATTTGCACGTAATTAAAAGGAGTGCATATGATAAATGATTACACTGAGCTTATGATTACAAGTGCGATCTAAGAGCTTCAATAAAATATTTGATATATGACAGTTGCACGGATGCAAACTCTTGCCAGACTCTTTCTATAAGAGTGTTACAGTTTTTTAAATCTATGATCAGTCAAGCTTCATGACTCAGCGCAAGTTTACATTTCAAATAAACTTTAGCGTCAGTTGTTAACAACTATCATTAAACAGTTGACTTAAATAATAAAAGGCCCTAATTTTATAGTTAAGCTAAGTTTTTATTTCGATATGTATATATTTAATACATAAATTCTTGGTTTTGCTATATTCGTGATCAACTATTGCTCTGTTAGGGTATTTTGTTATGTATTCTACGTTCATGATACAGGCTTTGTAACGTAAATGCACATTTCTCTTAATTTGCCGGTTTGCCGAAGTAGCAGCTTTAGCGATATCATCAGCAATAGCTGAAAAGCTCACCTCCATTGCCAAAACCCCTGGTGATCTTGGTCCTTGATCCACAATGCTTTCCAAATTATCAACAAAAGCTGACAAACTCTTTCAAACTATAGACAATGTCTTGGGTTTTTTTCTGAAGTTTGGCGTTATTGAATGCGGTTAACGCAGACGAAAAGTCGACAGGTAGTTCACTATTTAAGGATAAAGCTAAGACTTGTAAAAATCTCGATGCAGGTTTCCTGAAGAGCTGGCTAATGACCCATATCCTTGGCTGTGTGGAAGGTCACATACGGTGAAAACAATTGCTGGCATTAACTGGTCTACATCAAACTCTTCATGGATGGCTCTTGCATACAAATAAGTCGATTTATCATCAAAGCCCGAGACTAGTCGTCTTAGTGATAATACTGATTTTTGAGATGAGTACGTCATTGGACTATTGCGGGTTGCTGTTATGCACTCTTTAATATTATCGTTTCGATAAAATATACGCACAGTTAAGGGATTAATTATGAGCGATGTTGATGAAGATTCTGGACCAACATTGCCCGCTTCCTCGGCGGAATCTTTTTGAAGACGAGTTGACGAGGTAATCAACACATTCATTGCTTTTAATACAATTTTTAGCTTTCTTCTGACACCTTTTCCATCTGACTCATCATGAATCAGAAAATACACCAGAAGTTAGACTAATTTTACGAGCGCTACCTCCAGATACTACTTATGATGTCGTCCAACAAAACTTTTCATCATTTTGGTTTCTTTTCAAGAAGAAGAAGAAATAAAAAGATATGCTGTTATTTCTTTATTTATTCTAATTTTATGTTGTCAGTTCTATCAACAAAGGCCACCTGGTTCACATGTAAACTATGATATATTCGTATTTATATCAGAGAGTGAATTGGACAACCTTAAGTTAGGTAGAGACTCTGGTAGTGTGAAGTTGTAGTGATTCCACATACAGAGCTTCAAGGAAGCGGCCGTAGTATTAGCCTATGTTCTGATGCATGTAGAGTTCACATATTTTCACAATTTCTTGGTAAATATTGTGACAATGATCGCGAAACACAAAGAAATTTCTTAATATTTTCAGGTAGTCAACAACAGGACACTGAATACTGTCACTAATCCTGGAGACGGATATAGTGACTATAAAATGATGGAAAACTCATTCGCTAAGAATAATTTAATATGTCAGTTACAAGTTTTTAAATTTTTTGAAAGTAACATGAAATTCGTCACAGTGCTTTTGGAGCTTGTGCTGCCTCAGAGACGCAGAGCTATCATAACTTTTACCACAAAAGCAAACGTGCTTATGTTCGCTTGATAAAAGACTAATTTCCATTACGTGTTCAACAACAGTAATTTGGGAAAAAAGAAAAACTGTACCGCCCCATCCTTGGCTGACAAGGGCTGTAATGCGTCATACAACCAAACTTGTTATGTAATCGTTTATAAGACACAAAATTAGACAAAAGAAGTACTCTTTGAGACTAATCTTTACTCTGAGATAAAGACAAAAGGAGCAAACAAATAAATGAACGATCTACTATTTATAGTTGTTTATCAAATGGATAGTAAGTCACTATTCTAAGCGTGGATTATAACTGCTGAGGATATGGTTGACTAACGGTTCCTGAGTTCATAAAGAAAACTTTTAATTCGTTCCTGACACTGATCTTGTTCATTTCATGATCTGGGTTATGATACTGCTTTTCCCATAAGAAGGGCTATCTTTTAAAGAAGTGTATCCTTTTATGTAAAGAAGTAATGAGGTATATTCAAAGGAGAGATTCTATTTAATTTAACTTATCACTAAAAGTGTGTACGCGTAATCTTATAATGTATGAATTCACTCGATTCATACTGATTATAGTCATTTATCTCAATGTCAGTCATAAACAGATATTGTTCTACGATTGCTGGGATAAAGCTCTCTTTTATGGTAGTCGTCGAAAGCTCAAGGCTAGCTTACATAGTCGAAGGCATAGGTAAGAACTTCCGAAGGACCATCAGCAAGAGAAGAGTATAATATCAAGTCTACTTTATATTCTTAAGGATGTGCATGATTGGTGCTATTGTTAAATCCTTTCACCAGCTACATAAACACAGGCACGTAGTGAATAATAAAAACGCGTCATTTATTAATCAGCTTTTTCAATTACATTTAATAATACAAGCGTACTTCTTTCAGTTCTCAAGACAATAATAGTCTTGATTAACAGGATCAACCACGGGAAGGTAAAAGTACATTTGATCCCAAAAAGAAGGTATACACTGAGTGTCAATGGTGTATATACCTTATAAAAAAGAGTGATGTATCAAGAATGAACTTATACATCTGAAAAACCTAGAAAGTACAAGATGAACAGCCCCAAACCAATAGATCTAGGAGAGCCTCGGCCCCAGGTAAGAGGATCACTGTCCTTATCAGCCGGATTGACAGACTTCCAACAAGTAGCTATCGATAGGCCCAACCTCGTCTACCAGTCGTCTCGCAAGCTCAGAAGAAGGTTTTGACTCAGCAAACTATCCAAAATAGCTTTTGGTTCGATACCGCCTAGTAACAGCATAAGCATTTATTCGAGTAGCCACACTTAGAGAGCATTTCTCTGTTCACAGATAAAGGGCAAAGCGGTTAATCACATAACAGGGCCTGGTCCCAACCGATGTAGCCAGCCCAGAATCTGCAAGTCACTTGAATCACCAACATGACCGTACTAGGGTTACAGCGTGAACAGAGAGCGTGCTCAGTCCTCTAAAGGATGAACAGAGTCAAAACACAAAGCATCGTCACAGGGAGAAAAAAAGCAAGGAGTATCTGTAAAGAAAAGAAAAAGAAAAAGGGAAAAAAAAGAGGTAGGTCAGAAATACTTTAAAGCGTTGACAGTCGCTTATTCAACTCATGGCATTTTATTGGCTAACGCGTTCCGATAGCACATCTTTGCTTATATGCATATGATTGTCAACAAAGGCTCCTTGAAGCATTTCTAAGCATAGAAAGATAAAGTATAACGTAGCTTTTGAAGTTAAGAGATATTTGTTACAGCTAATTAGCTTTATACTCTGGCTTTCAATTAAACATGTTTCTTAAAGCTTACACATTACTCTTCAGTTAATATCTTATTTCTAGTGGCGCTATTGACTGTTCAGTGTAGACAAATGCTAGAAACATCTACTGACGTCAAAAGGAGTAAAAACGTATGATAGGATATTATCTACATAGATATCAATCCATTTATACGATATTCTTATTTATATCAACATGGCTTGTTCTGATGATTTGGCGACTAACTCTTAAAACGTCACAGGTTCTCAAGCGATGTTGACTGGATTAGCTTCCATGATTACTCTTTTTGAAGGAAATGCCGATGCTGCCTGACAACAAAGAAAGCATAAATGTAGATCATAGGTGTGTTTATTGAAATGCTATTCTGAAAGTGTTTTAACCAAAATTGAGATGGTTGAAAATCTATTTAATACGGCAATTTTGATGGAGAAGGTGGTTCAGTGTAGCTGGTTTCCAGAGTAAACTTTGAGTCTACCCTCAACTTTCTAAACGAAACTAGAAGTTGTCATTATGCTCCTGGTGGCATTCACACCATGTTGCCAGAATGTATTACGTATTTTACAGACAAATATACTCTGACCTTTAACCCGAGCGACACTATCCAGGGAATCAGTGTCAAATACAGGTGTGAGAAATGTGATATTCACCAATTTGTGCAATAGTAAGTAGCCAGTAACTTCTCTTTTTATGATTACAGAAGTAAATGGTTATTGACAAAGATTTGTGCTCTGAATAATGCCTGTTGAGTATCCTCACACGTGTATATTACTCTTTGCCAAAGCTTATCAAGGTAAATACTTTGATACATTTTTCTAGTGTATGATTCAAATCTATCTCCTGAATTCGCCACAAAAACCTCTACTTTTGACTGTATGTGAATTGGACAACTAAGTGATCTTGTAGATTTATAGTCAGTCTTTTTACAAATTGACATGTTAAACCAGAACCAAAAGTGGTCTTTTGACGCTTAACACCTCTTTTCCCTTGTTTTACAAAAGAGCTTTGCTTATGTCTTTTTTCCTACGGTATCCACTATAGAATGAAATAGGGAAACTATAAGACCAGCGTATTATGTGATACATATCGTCATCTGCAGTTATCGCTTCGTTCGTCTCGTCAATAAAGCAAGGGTTGATCCGAGCTTGTCATCCTGTCCCTCTAGGCGGACTCCGTTCTTTTAGTCCCTGCTTATCGTCCTGATCGTAACCGGTTGATTCGCTGGTATCTCGGTTGACTACCTGGTAAACTTTGGCCATGTGCGTGTAGTTTCGGCTGCATCACTCGTGAATATCTTCACTGCCATCTTGTCCCTTGGTTAAATAATACTGAAAATATTTCTTGTCACTCTGTTATTTAACCATGTATTTGTATTACAGGTTGTCTTTTCTTTCCTTCTATTGCTGCTTTTATCTTGTTCTTAATGATAGCTTTGTACATATTAAAGCTTGTTATATGAGAGGTAAATGCAAAGACGACAAAGAAAAATATCAAATCAATGACAACATTTATTACAGCATTTTATTGTTGTCAGACTTTTAAAGTTCAAGCTTTAAAGTATCGCTAATATATCAAGAAGTGCATAGAAATGGTAAAGATTAGAGATGCAGCTATTGTAAAGATGCAGAGCGTAAAAGGAGTACAGCTTTTTTTTTTTTTTTTTCTCGCACTGTATATATCACCCATGAAAAATGCTGTAACATAACTGTAGAAATTGCTATGTTTCTGTAGAACAAGAGTAGTAGCCAATGCTTATCGAGCTTGACGGGATATTTCCGGTTAAAACCAGTTGAAAAGCTGAACCTGTTTTCACCATTTTTCAACCGCTTGCTTGTTATTAAAATACTCATCGTTTAGCATAAACAATTTTATTTATTCGTAAAGCTAACAGAGACATTTCAAACAAATAGCCTTTGATCAGCGAACTTATTTCGCTTGGACTCTTTTTGTCACTCGTTTTTCTAAAACCGAATAGGTACTATACCGTTTTCTTCTTGGCGCATCTTGGTTGAAATATAAATACCCTCTTTACTGTGGCAGGTTTCTCTTGTTACATTTTGTTTGTTAAAATATCAAGATAACAATGAATCATGGCAGAAAAAGTTTATTGACATAAGAGGTAATGACGTGACTTGCTCAACAAGATGCAAGGTAGGATAAATGTGAGATAATATGGATACAATTTTAAAAGTATATAGGAATAAAAGAATGGGTGGGAAGTACATGCAAGTTTAAAATACAAAAGGGGAAAAAGGAAGGAACTGGGTATCGATGAAGGATCTCTGTTCTATAAATGTCTATAATCTTTGTTTTTGTCAAAAAGGGGAGTCGTTATTGTCGTTGATGCCCTGAAAACGACCTTTTAAGTTTTTTCAACATGGATCTGCATACAGAGTTATTGCTATAACTTGTCACTGAAAATAAAAATCGGCTATCTCCAGAAGGATAATCAAAAGAGGACCAACTTTTTCGTGAAATTTGCTTTAGTTTGACTCCTAATTTATCAGATAAAGAAGTGCTTGAAGCAGAATGCTTTATTCCTCCCGTACTCGTTTCCCAGTGTTCACTGTTTGCGTTCAACATGAGCCAAGGTATAAATGAATTTACTCTCATCAATTCAAGTACTGCTTCTGCTGCAGCACCAAATAGTTTGGGATGATAATTGCCTTGTTGATAAAAGTCTAGGATAGCTTCTCGCATGTCACAAGGGATATTGATTTCCTGTGGTGAATTGGGTCGTATATACTCATTGATCATATCCTCACATCGCAAAGCCAATGATTTATCATTTGTACATTCTTTATACTTTTGTACAGCAATCCAAAAGTCTAAATTTTCGATACAATATGACTGTCGTAGATAGTTTGCAAATTCTTTGAATAGATCAGATGAAGGATCATTGAGAACAACTTCTAGAGTAAGCGATGGTGGTTCAGGACTGCATAGCATTATAAAGGAAAAAGTGATAAAAATTCTACGTGTGTAAAAGATCAAACAAATTTTTATATGGAAAAAGGAGAAAGAAAGAATAAAAGCTAAAAGGAGAAATAAATAATAAGCGTCAATTGGTTCGTTTTGTCCGTTTCCGTTGTCCATGTGATACAGACACGCTGGGAAAAGTTGTGTAAACAATCTCTTTTATTTGCAGCAACATGGCGGTTTGAGTACAATAAATATGGTGAAAAACATTACCAAGGGGACAAAAAAAAACCATGATCGGTTTCCATGATTCGGTTGTCAGGATAATTATAGTACGCCGCCCACGTGAACAGGAAACAGCTTTTTTAAAAAGAACGAGTGGCAACAAGTCCCAACTTTCGGAACATAAACTATTTTCCCCTCCTTTCCTTGAGTCTCTTTTCTTTCCTTGTGTCAAGATCTACTGCATGCAATGAGATCTCCTGCATAATACAGTAATAGAATAAACTGGTACGCAGACTAGTACAAATGACTTGACAACGAGTTTATCGTCATGCGGTACACGTGCCGGGAAAAAATTTCCCAAAAATATGCTGTAGTACAAATCGTCGTCAGTGCGTCGTCAAAAAAAAAAAGAAATCTACAGTTACAGTATTCGGCGCATTGGGATTAGTTTTTTCATCCCAGAATGAGCAAAAAGCTTCTTTTATCTTGGATTTTGTTGTGCTAATTCCATTGAAATGATATTGCGCACTGAACATCTCAAGCATGTTCATGTTTGTTCATTCTTTCGGGGGAACTGAATTTAAGTCATTGCTTAGAAGATCAAGGCCAACTACAAAAATAAATAGTTCAAAAACGTTGTCTCTTACGTTTTCCTCCAGCTATTGCTTCGTTGATTTGTCTTCTTCAATTATTTGCTTCAGTATGTTTGACTATAACGAAAAGGTCTACAATAAATACATATTTGATCTTTGCGAACAATTGTAGAAAAGGTGTACACTACGCGCACGAGGAAATCCATGAGAGAGTTAATGTTTCAAACGCCATCTGTCATGTCGTCAACAAACCTTTTGGATGTGCAGCGTCAAGCTAAACTTGTTCAGAGAACAGGCGCATAGTGTTCACTATTTCAAAAAGCTGATCAAACGGGCTTCAAAAATTCGACAAATTGAGTTCAAAAGGTTGGCCAATTAAATTCAAAAAGTTGACCAATTTTTCGTTTAAACATGACATTTTATCGATGGTCCAAATAAAACAATAAAATAAACGTCCACCCGGACCCGTTCAATCCGTTTGGAAGTGAACGTTAGCGGAAAAAACCCCTTATGGATACAAGGGTAAAAAATGTAAACGGAAATTAATGTGTAGGGTTATCGATGAAAAGTTAAATGAATTGCTTTAACCACACAAAAAGCTTTTTACCATAGAGATGCTTAGTAGAAATCAATTTGTTATGGTGTAGCTGATCTAATTCATGTAGTAGAGAGCATATGATCGACTATCGTTGAGACCAGGTGAGGGCTAGATTTGGGGGACCTGAAGTGCGTAAAAGAAGCACCAATTTTTTCGACACAGTGGCCAATTAGAGGGGAAATTCTGTACTTAATTTGATATGCATAAATACCAACCGTACAATATATTGATTAATTTCCTACATGTACATCATTATTAACTTTCACTATAGATATAATAATTAGTCATGCATATCTTTTTGTTTACCTGCTGAAACAATAAAGGAGCATTTAGATCTTAGTTAGTTTAGATATACGCTGCTGTAGTAATTTTACACATGTGTATGATCTACTCATTAGTAATAAAATAACTGCAGCTATAGTTGTATAGTGCTCTCAGAACTAAAATATACTGATCAAGGTTAAAAGGAATTAGCAATTTCGCGTCGTAAAGTGCAGCTTTTTTTATTTTCCTTTTCCACTTGCTGAATGATCAAATAATAAGCACGTATTAAAATGACTAGTGTCAAAATAGACTGTTAATGTAAGTTTCTTGTGGTATCATCAATAATTAAATACCAAGTTATGTGTTTGTGATTTATCTATGTAATAGTCAAGCAACTTAGCTTTCTTTCTCATTAAGTCTATCCAATCGACGATTATAAGCCACGGGATATTCCCTTACCCTCACATTTGTGAAGTCTCTGCTGCTATTGATCTGAATGAATTTCACAAACTGTCCGTGTTTCTATTTAGCTACTCCATAGTATGATTCATAATGAGCTTGGGACAAAACACAAAGGTATGCAAGCAGACTCTGCAATTTTTCTATGAAGCGAAAAGCCAAAAAGTTGTAAAAGGTATTCCGCCACGTTTTCCTAAAAAGATAGGCTTATCTAGCCTTGCAGAATGCTTGTCATTTACAAATACCATAAAGGATTCAAAAGTTCAAATAACCGGCTCTATGCTGGAATATGGCATATATTAATTGAAAGATTCGTTTATAAAAAAAAGGACCATATTTTTACGGATACAAAGAAACGCAACGGATGCTCCCATAGAAGAATGAACGAAATGCATGACAGTTCAGTATCTGGAGAACGTCGCATCAACTCCACATGAATAAAGGGAAAAAAAATCAGGGCGATGTGGAGTGATTCTTGGCTTGGTAGCTTCAGTTCACCCAATATTCTTCACAATCTTCTCTAGGATTAGTTGTTTTGATAATTCCCTTTTATGGTGTTATAGATAACAACAAGAAAAGACCACAAACTTTATTTCATAGTCATCAAAATAAACGCCATATAACAAAATGAATACGCGATCCAGGTTTAAGTTCATGGCTTATTGTGTATCTTTTGGACCTGTTATAAAATCAATGGTGTTTAATAAAAGTGTGAAGGATTTGATGTTAGCAATTGAAATAACATGAGAACTGGCGCCCAAAGACATATGCATGAAGTCTCAAGCCTTTAGAATATCCACAGAGGAAGTATATTATTTTTATGCAACTAAGTTTATTTAAAAAAATTGATATGGTCATAACTCTAAGAAATCCCCTTTTAAAGTCACTTTAGATAGGAGTAACGTCGACCCAGAATCTGGTATCATCCTTCAAGTATTTGGAATCGCTGGCAAGTTGGTCATGGATCCAGTTGATAGCATTCTTGTAGTTGGTGATGTCTTGGGTATAAGGATTGTTCAAACCACTTTCACCGTTTCTATGGCCACCAAACCACTTATCAGGGCCGTAGAACTTTTGAGATTCTTGTCTAGCCTTAATATCTTGTGCCAATCTCTTGTTAAGAACAGCACCGTTATTGGAAGCACTAGCAGGTTGACCCTTGAATTGAGAAGTGGAGGTACGAAGCATAAACCAGTTTTGCTTAAAGATACCAAAGTTGGCAGCATCGCCAGACTTGTTGTCACCGTAGGGATAGTCGGTAATCATGTGATCGCTCTCGAGCATAGCAATAGCCAAATCCCAAACTCCACCACCAGCTTTCAAAATTTGTTGCTTTCTCTTACCCAAGCCATTAACAGTATAGTGGCCTCTATCGCCGGGTCTAGCAGAGACCAAAGTAAAGGTAAAGAAAAGGAAAAGAGCAAAGAACTTGACGAGCATGTTGAATTGAATGTAGAAGACTGAACCAAATATGCTTCTCTATTTATACTTCTTGAACTCTGACGATAGCCATGTGTACAACTGTCTATAATGGATGAATGCGTAAGCTCATATCAATATTAATATATTACACTGAAACAAAGTTTCATAGTTGGGACTGGATACTAAAGTTAATGACAAGCAACTATAATGTCGATGTGTTACTTGCCTCTTTTTTTGTTATAAGATGATCAGTTCTTGACTATTAAGGCACTGACAACGGTAGCGGTCTTGTAACTTGCATAGCGTGATAAATTAAGTGAATTTACTTTCCGGAAAGAGTGTAACAAGTTTATCATCAAGAAGTGTCGCACAAATATGAATTCTTAATAATGAATTGAGTTACATTGAAGCCTATGCATTACAGACGATGTATCCATAGAAGCCATAGTTAAGTTAATGATTGACTAACGCGGTCATATTACATTATATTATCATTAATAGTCTATAAGTGGATATCACCGTTGGAGTTTGTAAAAGAAAAAAATGCATCGAATGAGAATATACCGAAACATTTAATTTGCAATATGCCTCTTTGTATTACTTGAAATCAACCTAAAGCGAAATATATCAAAAACCGAAACTGCTGGAATATATCGTAGATAGAAACTTGCAAAGAAAAAAAAAACTTGGGTAGCACGCTTTAATCTGAATAGATGCCTATCAAGATTTTTAATAGCCATTTTTGATAGTAGTAGATGCCATTAATTCGCATTGGTGACAAACAATGCTTTATCTGAATTAGTTTTTAAATGAATATGTAACCTTTCAAATTTTCCCGCTCTAGTTTTTTCAGTAACGATCCCTCATTGTCCCTTCGCACTCTTTCAGTTACGTAAGCGGGAGAAGTGTCTGATGATGTAATGTATTATGGCCATGATGATAATTATGATAAGTATATCTTTATTATTCTGAGAAATGAATGATTTAGATAGGGGTAACATTGACCCAGAATCTGGTATCGTCCTTCAAGTACTTGGGATCGCTGGCAAGTTGGTCCTGAATCCAGCTAACACCGCTTTTGTAGGTGTTAATATCGACTGTATCGGGGTTGTTCAAGCCGCTTTCGCCGTTTCTATGGCCACCGAACCATTTTTCAGTTCCATAGAACTTTTGAGACTCATGTCTAGCTTTGATATCGGCCTTAAGATCCTTATTAAGCACAGCACCGTCGTCGGAATCACTAGCAGGTTGATCCTTGAATTGAGAAGTGGAGGTACGAAGCATAAACCAGTTTTGCTTAAAGATACCAAAGTTGGCAGCATCGCCAGACTTGTTGTCACCGTAGGGATAGTCGGTAATCATGTGATCGCTCTCGAGCATAGCAATAGCCAAATCCAAAACTTCACCGCCAGAGCTCAAAATCTCTTGCTTTCTCTTACCTAAGCCAGGAACAGTGTAGGATCCACGGTCAGTGGTAGCAGCAGCGGTCAATGAGAGAGTCAAAAAGAGGCAGACAGACTTGAAAAGCATTGTTGAATGAATGGAATATGTGTTGATGGCTTTTGATCTGCATCAAAACTAGTCTCCCTTTTATACGTTTTCACTAAACGGCTAGCCTATCTACCCAGTGATACAAGTCTAATGATTCATAGCACTTAGCTTGAACTGTTCAGTTTTAGCTTCATTAGATTGTTTAAGATTGGTTGTGGGTAATTAGCTGTAAACTTCGGGAGTTTGTAGGAGACGCATTGGTCATTGCTTTAGTCATTTGGGTACATGCTAAATAAGAGATACAGCAGAAAGACATACAATTATGAATTAAGCTCAAGGTAGCCATTTCATTTGGCATAAACGGCATTGATGCAGACATAGGTGTAGATGCTATTGAACATATAGGAGCGCTCTGTCTCTCTCTCTTTTCTCCTCCTACAACCGCCGTTATTCTGTTTCACTTTTTTTCAGCGTTCCCAATTGCTTAAAATGGGTAAGCATATATACAGCAGATCGACGATATACACCTGATGAGACTAAATTTCTCCATAGAGAAAGGGCATGGAAGCTGCAAAAGATTCTGTTTTTTATATGGCAACGAGAGATGAATAAGTTTAGTAAAGTCATTTTTAATAAACGAGAAAGTCATACCATTGACTAAAAGGCCAAAGGTACAACTCAAAGCAACCTTTTGGAATGCTTCAGGTACATCAAGTCATGTGTCCATCAAAGCCTCAATCTCTTGAAATTAGTTCAGTATTGCGGGATGTAACTTGGAGAAGTAGAGGTATACCCATAATAATGATGATGGTGTTCGATTGCAACATGTTTTATGTAACACATATACGAAAAACTCTTCACCGCTAACCATTTAGAATCTGAGATTTATACTCAAACATCGTCACTGCTTCTCTCTTTGTCAAAAAGTCATAGCTACAGCAAAGGAATGATGCAACATATTGATATATAAATTGATGAGCTTTCAAGAAAAGTATCTATATGCGGGCCTTCATAAATGTGCCAATATCTTATTCAATAATATTTATACGACCATAAGCTACATATTTCAATATATAATCTTAATTAACCCGAGGAAAAGATAGACTGATATCATTTGAGAAGGTTTCTAACTTACCGAAAAGGAGGTACTGACGGCGTTGCGCACCTTTTCTCGAGCGTAATGTTGTTCTGGACTACCGTGTTTGCCAATAAATTATATTACAAGTATTTAAAAATGCTACATTAGCTTTAAAAAGATACACAAGCTATCAATTACTTTGATAGCGGTCTCAGTATGTAGTTTATAGCAAATGGTAGTAACTTTATTCTAACTATTTGCTGTCAAGTATAAGTAGTCGATAGAGGAAAACTACTTGAATGTTTGAACAAGCTTATTGTAAAATAAAGAACTGTTTTCAAATAAGGTGATATACATTTTCCGAAGCAAAGTTAATATGCATTTGTTTGTGTCTCTAAACTTTATGAACGGTCAGATTTTGCTAGATCAATAGACTGAATGTTTAATAGAAATGCGTATGTCCCACACAATCTCGAAAGGTGCTGCCTTTGAGCCGCTTTTTGTAATTATAATTTTCTCTCCCTTTACTTTCTTGAATATGAAATGAATTTTGGTTCAAGAAAAACGATGTGATTTTATTTATATCAGCATTTTCGTAATTTATAGTGTATTGACGCATAGAGATTCCCCCAGACCACCATATGCCCTTAACATAGGTTCTGGAGTGTCATCCTGCGACAATAAACATTAGGAGCCTCTTTTATTGTCAGTTGTTGCATGCAGATTCGTCCACTCATTTTAAGGTAGTTGATTATTGTCAGATTGAAATAATAATCAGATCGTGCTAGAGAATGTTTATTAGAGCGTGCATGCTTTTATAGATATGTGATTACTAGCTTTATTATTTTATTATTATTACTACCATTACTATTACTATTATTATTATTAGTAGTATTATTGCTGTTGTTATCATTATCGCTGTTGTTGTACAATTAAAGTGATTTTGGGTTTATAATAACAGGCGCTAGGCTGTTTGGCTTTTTTTCATTATTATTATTATTACTATGATTACTACTATGATTATGGCTATTATGATCACTATTACTATAGCTACTACTACTGTTACCACTGATACTATGGTTAGCATTATAATTAATACTACTAATATTGCTTGTGCTAGTATTTGGTGTAAGAATTGGTTTTTGAGCGCTGTAGAAATAATAATTGCTGAAGCTTTTATATTGGTCCATTTCTCTAATGACCACCGAAATGTCTTGATCAAACGTATTGTTTTCTTTGTAACAGTGTTCTTGTACAGCAGACTGAAATTTCGTCAACATGTTGATCATGTCATCTCTACAAAGTACTCCAATTCTGCCTCCCCATACTCCAATGGGTATCGATCTATATTTTACTTGCTTATTTATTCCTTCATCGGGAACGATCTTGGTCAACATACTCGATTGCTCCCTTATGTCATATCCTTGATTAATGGCTAGTTCCAGCACTATTTAAGAAATTTATAAGCATCAACAACAAAACTTCAATGTAGATAAGTACTCTCGTGGTTCATCTTTTGTGTCAAGGGCCCTGCAGAATAGATGATCAAGTCTGTTTCGAGTATTTCAATGTATCCTCCAGGTTTCAAAAGCCGCCAGCAGTCGTTTACTACCTTCTTGTATTGAGGTGTGGTGAGCGAGAGCACCATGAATCGGATATGAATAACATCAAAGCTTGCATCAGGGAACTCTCGCAGTCCATTGAGTACGTTACAGACGATTAATTGACAGTTTGGTGGTAAAACGTGGGCTAAAGGAAACATGTCATCATTGTCTACGCCAATGACTTCAATCTTTGGGTATTTTTGAGCAAGATCAATGCACCATGAGCCTGGTCCGCATCCAACGTCTAATATTCTAGCATAATCTAAATCTCGATAGTCAAATGGCAAAGAAAATTCACTATAACAATAGCACATGGTGAGTAGAGCTGATGATACAGTAATTATGCTTTTACCCTTCAAAAGCCAATTTGACCAGGTCATTCTTTAATTGAATGCGATCTGCCTCTTCATCATCTGGTTTTAATAAATGTCTTTGCAGCAAGTCTTTGTCTTCGCTTTCTTCGTGTGTATCTTGATGTTCAGGAGTATCCTGTACACTTGGTGTATCTAATGATGGTTTCTTATGGTGTCTTCTAGTAGCTTTCGATAATATCCGGGATATCTTTGGTCGTAAAGAAGGCCGCTCTTCATTTAATGACTGGGAGCGTTGCTTATTAAGTTCTAAACTCGGTCTTCTTTCAGGCGAAGGTGGTTCAGAAGAGAACATACTAAAAAATGGGCCATTGAACCAAGACCTTCTTCTGTTATTATTCTTTTTTTCATAAATAGACTTTGCTCTTCTCATGTTTGTTTATGTAAAAAAGGAAGAAAAAGAAAGATTTTTTTCTTTTCCATTGATAATCGGTTATTTAATTGGACAAATCACATGTCAAGTATCCCCACACTACTATTTTTAGGCTAAATTAGACAGTGGAACCTTTTCAATCTCAGATTATCTTAAAAAGTTGACAAATGTCTGTGTGCGGTTTGAACACCAGATTGCAGTGCTACATGGTTTCGTGGCAATCTCTTTTCATGCGTCTGCCATATGCTTATGACACATTGAACAATCATAAAGACAACAGTGAGAGTATATATGATAATGGCAACCCTACAAAGCTCTTTATTGTACATTTTAATTAGTCCCTGGTTTAGTCACAGAAACATCCAAATCTACCAGTGTTCATAAAGAGCAAGCGCGTAACTGCAAGATAAAAATAAAGCCACGTTGCCTTACATACACAAGGTTGCATTATGCATTTTTTTAGCCAAAATGTTTTGTAATTTTGAGGTGTTGGTGCAACAATAAGGATATTGCTTGTGAGCAGCCTAGAAGACGTAGTTACCACCTTCTGCACACTTCTGATTACTGTTTCACGAAAAGGGGGCACTACTACTTTATTTTGGTAAATGTAAAATCCTATAAAAAAAATTTAAGCAATAGAGTGTCGCTTTATGAAGGAAAGAGGTGAGGCAACAACAGAATGAAGTCTTGGAAAGATACAATCAACAACTAAATTATACTTTATTTATTTTTTAAGAAAAGAAAAAGAGCATCCCAATGATTTAACTTTAATTTTTTTTGAGCTGTCTTGCTTGATGTTGATGTTTTTGGCATATTTCGGAAAGCAGTTCTTTCCAAGTAGTTATCAAATCAGGCAGTGTTACTTGAATCGACTTCGTCGTTCGATGAAATGATTTCGAATACTTTAACAAATTCGCAACATACCCAAGTAGAAAGAATGACTGGTAAAACAATAGAACCAAACTTGGTCACGGAGTTGCTGATTTTCATGCCTTGCTTCTTGAGATACGTGAGATGTACTTTGTAGATCTGTTTAGTTCAATAAGTGTACTTGATAAACCAGAGTGCAAGAATCCAACTGTGCGAATTGCTGTTGAGCGATTATCAAAGCTTATTTGTTGAAGTAAATAGTCAAACATGTCTTTCAACGTGCAAGGCAGCTTGTAAAAGCCTTCCTCCATAAACTTGGTATCAAAATCATATTCAATCTTTGGCTTGGCTTCACTCACACCAAACTCTAACACTATGAGGCATCGAAAACTAAATTATTAAATTCATCCAATAATATTCTTGTATTTTCAAATTCAACGCTTTTTATGAAATTTTATTGGCTGATTTTTGTCGCTATAGCTTTGTTGCGCCACGGTGGCTATCCATATTACTATTTGCATACTCTCAAACCAATGAAAAAATCACTAAGTTAATCCAGTCTTTATCGAAGCTTTCTTCTTTATTGTAGTCTGGTTGAAATGTATGATTATCCCTTAGAGCAGTTCGAAGCTTGGCTGTACTGTCTGGATTGTATCTGTTTAAAAAGTTTCATTGAATCTGAAGGCATAGGGAGGCTTTTCTTCTGATACGTGATGATTTTTTGTAGTCCTTGTTGAGTGGAGACGTTATATGTAGTGTAGTTTTCATCATAATGATCAATACTCAACGATCTACTTGGGTGATCAGGCTGGCGCTGCAATCCAAACATGAAGAGCTTGTCGTCAACATACTTTCCATTTGAGAGGTACCATTTTTCTCCTTGACCTAGCTTATTGAACATATATTCGAACTCAAAATTATGTTCTTCAAGTTCATCCTTTGTAAAATTGTTAATTTCTTTTTCAAGAGCAACGATATCTTCTTCTTCCTTATAAGAAGTGCTTTGATTTTCATGGCTATCTGCAACTTTGTGGTTGCTATCGACTTGGTGCAGAGCATCATTATCTACATCGGCCAAACTCCCAATCATTGCGATTTCGCTCTCAATTTGTTTATTTTTGACGGTCATGGTTAGGTACTTCTTGTTGGCCATAAGCTTTTGTCGAGCCTGTAAGTAAAAGTGTTGTTTGACCAATACAATGTCTAAAAGCTAAAGAGGATAATATTAATACTCTATTCAATGCATTACTAAAAAGAACACTCGAATACGCGTACTTCTTGTGCTTTCTTTTAACTTTTTCCAGCCCACATGATGATATCTCTGTTGGTATTATTTTTCAAGCTCAAGCCAGCTAGATCCTTTAGGGCATTCTCAAAAGCATTTAAACAAGATGTCCATGTTTCACATTTGGTATGCTTTGCAAAGGTTAACGCTTGGAATGCTGTTCCCTGCTTCCAGTTTGATATAATCCAAACTTTATGTGATAGTTTCATATCGTGTTATAAAAAGGTGTACACTACGCGCACGAGGAAACCCATGAGAGAGTTAATATTGCAAACGTCACCTGCCATGTCGCCAACAAACCTTTTGGATGTGCAGCGTCAAGCTACACTTATTCAGAGAACAGTCATCTTTCCATGTTCCTTGGTATAGGATGTGGCTTTTATAAAGTTTCAAAAAGAAAGGATATAGTATGGCTCTTTCTGTATTTTAATTTTATGCTGTCAGTTTAATCAACAAAGAACCAAGGTCATTCAAGAGTAATTATATATCAAAGGATATCCCACTGGAAAGCCTTAGGTTAGGTGGACACTTTGGTAGCGCGAAGTTGTATAGTGATGTCGCATGTAGCGCCCCAAGGAAGCGCTTGTAGCATTAGCCTTCTCGTGGATTTCATCGTGCGCGCAGTGTTCATCTTTATTAAAGATAAGCGAAAATACAATAAAAATAAAGTTTTTCTAAAAGTATACAATTGATCTTCTTTAAGCGAAGGTAAGAGATGGGAAGGGGAGAGAGGGGAAATCATGTCTTGTATTTTGTATTTTCATGTCTAACCAAATAAAAGGTGACAGCGAAAATGATAGTTTTCAAGACATTAATCAACCTATTATGAACTTTATTCCACACGAAACGTACGAATGACATTGTAGCTTGAGCCTCCTATAACATTATAGTCCCAGCTGGTACTGATTACTGAGACAAAGAGAACACCTCTCTCAGCGTGTCTATTACAGGTCCAGACGTGATATAAGATGTGAGAGTGAATCCCTTCTCATTTTTTGCGTTCAGAAGTTGTCTCAACAGTATCTGATTGATGCATGAGCCATATACGACCAGAGCTAGCTAGACTTCGCACTCTCATTTTGACTCACGATCGTCGTACGTTGGCTTGGTAGGACCGTAATCATAAATGGATGCGTTCAGTGATATAAAGCTACAATACATGATATTGGAAATAGAGTAGATAAGATATAGCGCCTCTTGATTGGGCAATATTAAGAACGTCAAGGGCGCTTGCAGCATACTTAGATGCATAAAGACACCTAACGATAGGTTACTAATCATTTTTAGAAAAGGAGTGGTCAAAGAGGGTGATCAAGGGATAGTTGCTATTTTCATCCTAATGAGCTTACCCAGCATTATGTTAACTCTTTTTAAGGCTGCTTAAATGGGAAGTTTTAATAAAAGAAAGAATAAAGCTTGAAGGTAAATTTATATTAAATGGGTTATTTCTGTGAAAATCCATTATGATTTTTTTTTTTTTCATTTTTTCATTTATATCAATTCTAATAATAAAAAATGCATATTGCTTAGAGAAGAAAAATAAGAACCCTTGCTCTCCCCCCGAAGCGGGAAAGACCAGCTACCCGGCACTTCAACATCCGGCAATGTTCTAGGAACATTCCTTCAATCTTGGAATTGGGCAAACTATAGAGTTTGAGTGTAGAGAAAAAAAAGGTTGGAATGGAAGTCTCATAGTTTTTGGTTTGTTTACATTGTGACTTTGAAAAGCGTTCCTGAGTTAAAAAAATTCCTTGGCTGCATGAATGATTTTAAGGAGAATGCTATTCCTCATTCCTCATTGGATGATTTTTTGTAGCAGGCTTATATAGTAGGACACGTTATTCAAGTAGTAGTACACCTAATACTGTTAGATTCAAGCGACTTTATCTAAAAGTGAAAAAGCTTTCAAGTCTTTACAAACGAAAAATATGATCTAATTTAAACTGTGTCAACTATTACTTTAACATCAAGGAGTACATTAAACTTGACTTAACTACTGAGTCTTGTTTTTATCGACAAGGATTCAAAAGAACCTATAACTGAGAAAAATGTAGCGATGACTACGGAGATCAAAAGGATTATGATGAATGAAAAGTAGAAAACTCAAAGAGGAATCCATATAAGTATCATTAGCCGTATTTCTCCCATAACTTATATTATTTTTGCAAATCCTTGAATAAGGGCAATGCTAAAAGCTTTCAAAAGTGGTGCTCTCAAGAACCTAAGCTTACAAAAAGAAAAATAGATGCTATAGAGTTCAGGTCAATTCCGGTTAAAAAGGTATAGCTGCTTTCCATATTGTGAAGCTTTTAAAGCTCATAATAGGCATTTTGAGTGATTCTGACAAGAAAAAAAGAAAAAAAAGAAGGTTCTACTGTAGTGGATAATTGTAGAATACATCACGCCCCTTGTATAGTCAACACTGTGAGAAAGCATGAGTACAAACTCTTGTTTATGTCACCTTACTCGTCATTCATGGATCCAACTAAATTGATAATTAGTGCCACTGCTGAAGGCTACCAAGGCTGAGTTAAGTATGCGGACAGTTATTGGGATAGGAATTGATTACATATAAAAATGACATTAATCTTTTTCTTTATCACAAGGAAATGTCAAGTAAGCTACAATCTCAGTGTAGCATATATTATTCTACGGCTGACTTTTATCGTTTATTAGCTCTCATTATATGACAGCTTCCATCTGATATTTTTGGTATAGCAGAATATAGCTAAAGAATTTATTTTCGTATGCTATCCTTCACATTTATATCGTCATATCAAATATTGTTTTCATTCGCTAGGGTAATTTCTATTTTTACAGGCAAAGTGCCTAACCCGTCATCATCTCAAATTAAAGCACGGTAATGCAAACGATTCAAGCAGCGCACTGAGCGTCGGGGGTTCAATGTTCTAACTGTTGATTAAAGGAAAGGGATTACCTAAAGTGCAAATATCGTAATTTACCTTTTTCTTTCAAGATGGCTGAATCACTGGATAAAAACACAGATCGTCAAATTGCAGCAGTCTTAGTCGTCGGCTTTCACCATGCTTTCGGTCCTATTGTTGAATTTTGCATACCACCTTTGCCATGTCAAAAGATAACACAACAACAAACACTCGAGAAACTAGAATTGCCAGAAGAATGGAGCTTTTTACCTTTTCTAGCTTTACCTGGTATATTGACTAGGAAAATATAAAATAAATAGAGAATATTGAAGAGTTCAATAGATGGTGCTCACCAAAAGGACGAAGACTTTGCTTATTTTCATCTACCTCCAGTACCAAGCTGGTCAGTGGCTGCTGAAACAACATTGTTTGGGATATCGTGTAATAGACAGATAGCATCCAAGGTTGATATTATATTCATGAGAGATATATTTGATAGTTAACAACATTTGATAGGATTTGATTGTAAAGACACCAGACATCACTAGATCCATTGTGCAAAAGGCTGTAGTTGTGTTGGCTAGACAAGTAATATACATTCTATATGCATATCATTGTAACCTATCTAATTTGTGCTAATACAAGCCAATATTTGGCCCGCTCAGGCAAAAGCTAGCAGTTATCACAGCCGCTTGGTTCAACCAACGTGATTTTACAAAGCTTGATATTCTACATGTAACATGATAACTACACATAGATCCTGGAGCTTGTATATTCATACTCATAGCCTTCTATTAGAACCTTTATAGCAGTCTAAATAATGCATTTTATGGGCCAATTGACGATTCAACATTGTATATGGGTACTTCATTACGCGAGCTTGTGTATAAATTCAGATCAAAAACATTAATGCTCTTGAAACTACTGTTACTTGAAAAAAGAGTAAAAAAAAAAAAAAAAGAGAGAGAGAGAAGGCTTCTTTTATTGTCAATAGATGTATTAACCGAACTAGATTCTCTTTTATGGATACCCTGTAGAAAAGCTATGTACGTTTCAGTACTCACTTATATCGCTTGTACCTGGTTTGTTGAGGAACTTGAAGGATTCAGGGAGCCCAGATTTAGATACAACTCAGCTCAGTACAGCAGAAATACTTGTTGATGGAAGTAAAGAGAGTTTACTAAAGTATATGGGATTACCACTGCACATCTTTGAAAAAGTAACACATATAGCCTATAAAAAAAAGTATATTCCTTAATACCATTGACAGGGCTCCTTTTTTCAACCATACGTGCCTCTTCAGCAGATCGATATGTTATCATCGGATCAAACACATTCATATATTGCAGGGACAACCAATCAAATATTCTTTCATCATAAAAGTGATACAAAGATTGATGTGCTTGTCAACGTAGAGACAGGCACACTCGAATTCTATAATCAATCCCTTGTTGCATGTGTTAGCCATACGATTGCAGATAGAAGATGGATGGAAAGTATAGTCAGAGTAGTGAATGATACATGGAGCCAAAATGGTAACAGCATTTATTTTGAATAACATGCGCAAAGTGCTCATGTCTATTACTAGATCCTAGTCATCCTATGCAAAACACGTATCTAGGCTCTGATGATTATCTTAGAGCCAGATTTGAGGAATATATCTTATCACTCTTATCCAGTGTGAAATATGCGCAGGCGCACCATCAACTGGATGATGTTTTGGACAACCTAGGTTCAGAAACTGTGATGGGGGAAAATGAAGGTAGCAAAAGTACAGGGGCCTGTTGAAATGCTTATTCATGCTTATTCTTAGAGCATAACTATTTAACTGATTATGGAATGAAATGGCTTAGAGCTTGGTGGCAAACCAACAATTTCAAGAAATGGAATCAATATACTGATTATGAAATATATGAAATCGTAGAGCCTGGGTAAGTAACTAATAACAGATACATACAAGAATAAACTGATATCAATACACATGTACATACACTAGGCATCCAGGAATGGGCCATATATCTATGACCGATCTTCAAAATACGTTGTCAAAGTAAGCAAATGAGGTTATTCCAAGATCACATATAGACGTATGCTCATTAAAATAAAATAGTCGATTACGCGACTTGCAGCTAAATCAGAACTTGGCTCCTATTCGAAATACTCTATCAAAAGCCGTATCAGGCGGTGCAAAGGTTGTGTCAAAAGGTAGTACCAAGTTTATGAAGGGCGTTGACGCATTTTGGAACGAGCTTGAAAGATCTTCATCAGAAAGTAAGTGATTGGTCATTTGTGTGCGTGTGTGTGTGATCTTTACTTATCGTGTTTAGCAACACGTAATGGAGAGCCCTCTTCTTCTGCTACTACAGTCACTTCTACTGCTGCAGCAACGCAGCAAGTAGGTAAGCTATTTTCAAATTTTTCATCCTTCTTGTCCAGAAAAACAAAAGAATTTTCACAGACTATGGAGGTAATCATTTATGACTTTGACATATCACATCAAACTTATGTTTATCATAGGAAGCTGTATCCTCTGATAGTAACGCATCCTCTCCTTCAAGTCGGCGCACATCGAAGATAGCCTCAATCAAACGGAAGCCTGGTGATGATGATACAAGCTCTGCATTTATTAATGTGGATTATCCTGGTTCTGCTAAAGATGATGAATATACTGATAACAAAACCTTGAATATATAAGATACCTTTTTACTAAATCCAAATAGAAAGCACCTGTCACTATTGTATTATTTCACTTAAAGTATTACTTTAAGTCTTAAATTGAATAAATACCCTTCGACATCAGAGCTGCAGTTTGTGAATGCTCATGGCGTATGTATTTGAGTAGCAAGATATGCCATGTAGGGCTCATTCTATTCGTTCTTTGACTATACTATTGACTAAAAATCATCTGCGTTGAATCTCTTTGGTCAGCATCAGTGACTGTAGATATGTTTTCATCCGTTCAACGCATGTTTGACAAAATAAGCACAGTGAAGTAATTTCTAAATATTCGGAGTCTAGACCGCTTTTTTTGGGTTGCATAAAAGCCAAAATTCATTTTCTTTTTCCTTCCTCTTGTACACTTCTTATGCCTGAGCCCACTTCAAAGACACCGTTGATACCAAATAAGAAGCCTCCTGTCAGTAGGCCAAAGCAGCAGAGAAGGAGGTCTTCATTTGAGGCACCTACTTACAATAGTGCAGGACAAGCACCTAGTTACGTCAAGGAACCTATGAATACAACAGAGATAGATTCACCGGGTTTAAGTTTGCTTCAATTATTGACATTAACTGTCTGTATGGCCGGCGTTCAGTTTACTTGTATGATTTTGCTTATTTAATGACGTCTTTGTGTTATTAACTATGTTATCATTAGGGACGGTTGAGCTATCGTAATATCCATAAATTACATGTTTGTTAATGAGTACTTATTACTTTATAATAGATATGGTACACCTTATCTATTATCACTGGATCTGTCAAAAGAACTTACTGCACTTGTCTGGTTAGCTGGTCCTCTGTCAGGGTTACTTGTTCAGCCGGTAAGTATCTTGCTTTGCTCCTTTAGATTGTTTCATAGAAAATGACGTATAGATTACTCTATTTAGTTGATTGGCGCCTTTAGTGATAAATGCACTTCAAGATTAGGCAAAAGAAGACCATTTATTATTGTTTCTGGCCTGTTAACATGTATATCGATGCTTGGCATTGCCTATGCAAGGGAGATTGGACGCTGGCTGGCTACCTTGACGTCACAGGACAATGGTTGGATTGATGAAAAAGTAATAGATACACACGTATACAAACATGTATATATAATTGATATCCCTCTTAGGCTCACACCAATGCCATTCTTGTGGCCGTTGTGTCATTTTACTTTTTAGATTTTACATTAAATGCGACTCAAGCCATATGTCGGGCACTCATTCTTGATATACCTCCCCTTTGGCAACAGGAACTAGCAAATGCGTGGAGCGCTCGTATGAGTAATACCGCGATGGTAGTCGGTTACTTTGTAGGATTTGTAGACCTTGTTACGTATTTTCCTTGGGTAGGCGATTCACAAGTCAAGGTGTTTTGCATCATTGCCATTGTCGTATTTATTGTCACTTTGACAATCACTTGTGTTACAACCAAAGAAAAACTGAATGAAAGAGCAGAAGAACAAGACATCAGCCAGTAAGAAGATATCGAAAGAAAAATTGGAACGATGCTCTAAATCCTTTTTGTTGCTTTAATAGGCCTTGGTATAGCACTTTTTATTACATCTGGAAGGCATTTCGATTTTTACCTCGACCTATCCAAACCTTGTGCAACACCCAATTCTTTGCTTGGATGGGATGGTTTCCGTTCTTGTTCTACAGTACACAGTGGGTTTCCGATATCTATTTTGCTACACATCCATCAGCACCCGAGGGAAGAGATTGGGCTGAAGGTACACGAGCAGGATCATTTGCTCTATTATGTTACTCGGTTGTCTCTGTTCTGGCAGGACTTGTCATACCTGCCTTGGCTGCACAATTTAAAAGAGTGAAACTGCTGAATATTCTCAACATCTATACCTTATCTCATTTGACTGTCGCAACTGCTTTGCTTTCCACCTGGTTTGTTAAATCAGTGACCACAGCAACTCTTATTCTAGCCATCATGGGTATCCCTTGGGCCATTGTACTGTGGATTCCGTTTTCGCTAGTCGGTGAATACGTCAGCGTAGAAGATGAGAGAAGGCAGCAGCAACAGGTCAATGGAAGCAGTTCAAGCTATTCTCAGCTCGAACAACAAGAAGAATTTGATGCAGGCATGATCTTGGGTGTTCACAACATGTATGTTGTGTTCCCTCAATTTGCTGTAGCCATCGTTTCTTCATTTATCTTTGCTGCCATTAAAGATACTCAGTCTCTGTCGAGTGTGACACCTGTTTTGATTTTTGGGGGTCTTATGGCTTTAGTGGCTGCTGGTTTTAGTAGATCCATCATACGTGTTGTTAAATAAAAACATTTATTTCTTTTCTTTCTTAAAATGTCGGATAAAAAGCGTTTTGTATTTGCTGAAAGAAAGAAAGCACTTCAAATTGCTGCTACCTGTGGACTTAGTGTCATTGAAGAGCAGTGTGAATTAGTAGGATATCAGATTTATATTGTTGAGCAATGGTACAAAACATACACTTGTAACTTATACAAGACTAAAAGCAAAGGGGGGAAACGTTTAGGATGTGCGATCGAACTATTGATTCTAATGTAGTTAAAGTATTCACTGGCGAAAAAAGTCATATTGTAAGAATAAGGGGAGAATGGTTTATTATATCAACTCATGTAGATTCAAGTAGCTGTTATTGCTATATCTACCGCAGAGCTTCAGCATCCTCGGCCACAGATTCAATCGTTTTTGAATGTTGGAGAATCAAGCATGAAGCTTAAATCAGTAATAATATACAGTTTATGCAGAACCATTCGATCTAATTTATGCATATTAGACACCATTAGGAGAAATTGTATTGACAGATCCAAGTGAACTTCCGTTTGAAATGGACATGGTCCTCATACCCGATGGAGATTATGACAAGTGGGTAAAGCAAGCCTATGTGAATATCAATTTAAAGAGAACCAACTGTACAGGAAGAAGTTCACTCAATCTTCGACCTCCAAAGTAAGTTTTTTTTTAAAAAAAAGACAATGATGCATACGACTTAGAGGATGTACAGTCCAGCGTCAGAGGAAAAATTTAGGTCTTTGTACAAGATAGCAGATACAGTCGACTTTCAGGAAGCAATGATTAATTTGGTGTCGACCGTACAAATTGCTCTCTACTTGTTTAAACTGTTGGATAAGGATTGCATTGATGGGTTGATATGTAATGAGACAACAAAGGCACTATGGTCATTTTATACTCATTATGATCCAGTCAAGACAACAGAGGTATATAAAATGTGAACTTATTAAAAGAAAGAAAAAATCATTTATATGCTTGTATTAGTACTCTCTAAAAGAGCCCTGGCTTGAACCTCATCTAGTAGCTGCCATCATATCAAAATTGATCATGTGTCGAAATAAGCTACAGGATTCAAATTTTACGGCATGTTCACACTAATTTGACTGGTATCTGTTATAAACTAACCCTTCCTAATAGACTATTAAAGATCCCTTTATTGACTATGATTCATTTCGATTTGACATTGGGGATTATCAGCGTTCCAAAAACATTCGACCTACCAAATTTTTGGATCTGGAGACACTGGCAAAGTTAAATGAGCATACATTTAACCTGAAAATGAAAAAGGTCATCAAATCAAAATTGGACGATATATCTGGAGTGAGCAATTCACCTTTGTTTGCTGAGACATCTGATCCAGAGGTCTTTCGACATCATGCGACAATAGAAAGTCTGAGAAAGATTTGGAGGCCCAAGTTGAGGGGAATGACGAAAAAATCAAGGGCGGGTGGAACAGCAGCAGAAATGCTGAGTAGAGTAGCAGTGTAAGATCATATCATTATTTTTTATCATAGCTATGAATACATATGTTGAATATAGGTCACTTCCTTGGATAAACACAGCCGATCATCATAAAAGAATCGACATTCCTTCTTCTATGTCAAGCTCAGTCATCAGTCCAGCCTCTTACAAGACTACGACAACAGAAGAAGAAGAACAAGCTTCATCTAGCCACCCGATACCCGAATATACCATGTCTCCAGATCGATTAGATCAAGGTACGCTCCCTCTTTTTGCTATGATTAAATTTGTATATATAAAACTCTTTTAGATATTCCTTCTTATGTACATCATCAAGTAGCACAGACCATATACCATGATGATGATCATGAATCTCTTGAACTCACTAAAGAATCAGATACTACACCTGCCACAACCCCTCGACCGCCACTGGCACACCACAAACGATCCATATCAGATAGCTTTCTCATATCGAAACTGGCGACCAATTATCAGCCGATAATAGACATTGCACCTAAACCCTCTCTCCAACGGTCCAACTCGACATCATCACTGATTGTATTAAATGATGAAGCTATCAAACGGCCCTTGGTTTCGATGAATGTCCAGACATATATAACTTATCAAAAATTATGTCAGCAACAACGTACTCTAAAGAAGAAACTGGATGATCTCACTCAAGTAGCCGACGAATACGAAATGATGGCTAGTCGACTGAAACGGGTTTACCAAAGAAGACACAAGATGTTTGAGTCTATCCAAAAAGAGTCCCGGGAACTGGTGGCGGAACAAACAGAGACAGAGCAAGAGTTGAAAGAGATGGAAGATGACAGTGCAAAGGTTCATTATGAACTAAAAGCATTGAATGATAAATTGAAGGATATTGAAGATAATGTAGGAGCCTTTTATGGCAAGGTCGGTGTGTTGGAAAGGAAGATGGAAGACTCTCAACAATCAATTACTACCATGTTAATTGTTGGAAATTATTTTCATCATTACTGGATAAAGACAAGAGAGTGGGTCATGGCTGTCATAGGAGGCTTTGGTCGTAACACACGGACGAGTATTCAGATTAGTTAATTCTATTTATTCTACAATGGGCACATGTATAAATATAGTAAATACCTATTAAATTTGCTCCTTATTATTTATATGTAAAACCTGTTTTTACTTGAATCATCAGATCGATTGAGTCATTAAGGAGAAGGAAAAAGGGGATATGACTTTTCATATCATCATTTCCCGCGCATACATTAGGTTTAAACAGAATTACTGTATTTCTACTTCAGATTTAGACGATGTTAGTTTTTTCTGGGTGAACCAAAATGTAAATTGACAATCTGCTTACCTGTTTGTAAAAGATAAAATAGGAAATTAGCTTCAGACAAGTCGACAATGATCTCTGGACGTCTTACTTGTAGAAATCTAAATCTATTGTAAAGAGAAACCATGTTCGATATGGCAATTTTTTTTTAAAAAAAAACAGAAAAGGTTTTGACATTATTGATTTCGCAAGAAAACTGGAGGGCGACTGCAACCAGTAATAATGTTTTTGGAAGCATTTAGACCACGCTGTCACATTATTCCACAATTTCTGCAAGTGAGAACACTGTGGAGGTCGATCATAGCTGTAGTAAGAGTCATCTCTTGACATGAGTAGCATACCTATATTTACGAAAAATATAAGTTGTATAACATAAATGGTAACTATATTCATTACCTTGGACGTACGAATTTCACCCATCGTTGCAAGCAACAGCTCACCAGACTTCTGCCTCCTCTGTAGTTGCCGGTAGAGCACCAGTTCTATGCGTCTTTATCTTTATCAGGCCCTTTTCCGAATGATATGAGCGGCAACTTTTCTTTAGACAAACACTTGATGCACGCAAAAATGCACTCAAAAATAAACCAATACCTCTATCCACTACCTATGATGAAGTTCAATAAAGCTTTTCAATGTGTAGCGTCAAACTAAACATGACTTTAAATGTTGCCATCTTAAGCTGTTTCTTTTCAAGAAGAAAAAGAGATAAAAAAGAAACGTTGTTATTGTTGTATTTTAATTTTATGCTGTCAGTTTCCCAACGGATTGAACTGATCTGGGCGGACAGTTGTTTACTCTATTTTTGTGCACAATTGGATCATTTTGAAGCAAAAATTCGCCTCGTCGAGGTTTTCAATCAAAGAAATCAAGCACTTCGTACTCATATAACACCTTCAAATATTACTTCAGGAGCATGAATTCATATACTTGAACTCATAGTCCAGCTTTTTTAAATTTATCTTCACAGAAAAAAATTTAAAAAATATTTCAGACGAACTGATGTAAATTGCTCAGACATAAAATTAAGCCAAGCCTACTTCTTTGTTGAAACATTTATCCCAAAAACTCATTGAATATATTATCCATCCAAGACAATCTTCTGTGGTAACGCTTCTACAAGCTGCTTGAATTCTGGCAGTTAAAGTATCCAATGAAGAAAGTGAATTTCTTCGAACTTGCGATTTAATTTTGGACTAGCACCCTTCAACTGGATTAAGAAAAGGTGAGTAGGGAGGCATAAATAATGGCTTATAGCCGCAACTTTGGATGGCATAAATTGCATAATGAGAGTGATGAATCCTGTAGTCACCCATGATGATAAAAAATCCTTTTTTATCACATCTATCCAAAACGTCTATGACGTTTCAAACAAAAGTTATGATAAGCTACGTAGTTGTGCCTTTCCTGACCTTTGTTTTAGAAGATTCATCAGTCTTAACTTTTCTTTTCTTGCTTTCAGATAGAGGAAGTTCTCTTAATTTTAACAACATCACTAGGTTTCAAAGATTCGATTTTGGAAAAGTTAAGGGTCCCAAATGGAGAAATGCATCCGACGATACTAAGATTGTTACCCTTTTGTATTGGAGCTTTTACTTGTGCTGGAGTATCCTTAACTGACCAAGTTTTACTCCTAATTTGATGAGAATTAAATCCGGGTTCACCGATGAACTCACAATTCTTTTGAAAATCAACTCCAGCCGCTTTCCATTCTGTTACTATCTTCTAACGAAGCTCAATGATTCTAGTAACATCTCTGTCCACAGTGTAAATACTTGAATTTTTCAAGGGTAGCCTAATTTTCTCTTTCATATATTTCCTTAAACTGCTTTCAGATATGCTGTGGCCTTGAAGCATGCTACAAAGCTGCTCTCATGCCATGTTCACTGTAATACACAGATTTTGATCAACCAGACCTATGAGGAACTATGTGTGCTGTTGTGTTAGTTTGGCATTATTTGTCTTGGGAGTTCCGTTATTCTTGGAGTGTCGTTTCACGCAACCTACAGGAATAACAGTTCCATCGCTCTTGTTCCATTGCTTCAGTATTTCATATGCAGTAGAATGGGGAATGAAGCAAGCCTTTGCGTGATTCGTAGCAGAACTGCCCTTTTCCTGCATAAGGTGGATTAATTTCTTGATATTCTCAAGGCAATAGGCTTTGTAAGAGAGAGCCTTGTTACTGTCATCAACCTCAGGCATAAGTGGTATATCCTCAGGAACAATATCGACTTCCATTTCTTGAGGCACGATCCGATCACCATCCAATAACAGCAATTTACCATATCTAAATGTAGGATCTTCATCGAGGTCCATTTCTTCAACCATTTCTTCAACCTGAGTTTCACTCATAGCTATCTCATTTGTCTTTATAACATAAGTTTGATTACCTCCTTTCAACACGTCTCCATGCCCAGATAGTCCAGCCACAACTGGAATATGGTCTAGCAATTACAGCCTTCAATCTACCAGAAATTCAATCTCTTGAAAATTGCCAAAGCCAATGCATTCATCAAATTTTTGGCGGACGACCTTTCACCTCTACCAAGGTAATGATATGCTTAATAAATTTATCAATCATGAAGGATCGTATTTCCATACTTCAAGCACAGCTTCTTTTCAGAACCTCCTTCCTACCAGACGATGCATTATTAACAAGATTGCTAACATACATACAATCACAACGTGTCTCGAAATGATCCCAACCATCCAAATCACCTTTATGGACATCAGTCAGCAATGAACATCTCGAAACTATGACTCATAATAATTTTATTAGAAAACGAAGACAGTTCCTGATTGATAATCACCGCTCGAAACTCCAAGGAAAACATTCTAAACTTCTGTCCCACTGCCGTAATATTGTAATTGTTGACCCTATTCTTTGGATACCAATGACAAGAAGTGAACGGTCTTGTTGTGTGCGATAGCGACTTGGTTGGTTACCTCTTGGTAAACCTCAAGCCTTCTCCTTTCATCCAAATGAACTTTTTTCACGCTTACATAGTTTTTCTTGTTTAGATATGCACAGCTGCCTTCAGCTGCCCAAATCTATTGACGATCCACTTTCCTATCTTTTGAACTTCTTACCACCAACACTCCTTACCAAGAAAGCAAGGAAATTAATTGATGCCTGGCTCATTCGCTGGCCTACTATCTGTGCAATCCTATTTGAGATGGACTGTTTGGCTCACTCTCAACTTCCAGATCCCTCTGACCACCTTGGTGAACCTTTCGTCAAACGTTCTCTTCATATAAAACATCGATTTTCTGATAGTTAATTATTATCATTTTCACTTTAACTCTTTTACAGTTTCTCTTTAATCCCAAAAGGATTTTCATTCCTTTTTCACAGCGACCTGACCAAGGCAAAGCAGTAGAAATACTATATGCTTATTGGTCATTTTATTTTAATACTACCGAATAAATTATTGTTTAATAAGCCTGCTTTTTTTTTTCATTATATGCTTAAACTGCTTGGCATCTTATTCCTGACATTTTGGTTAGGGTATTTGACTGCCTCGAATCAGTTATTGACAGTTATTTTTAGTCAAGTAAGTGACTGTTGCTATGTAACCAAGTTAGACTCAATTGTGTCATAAAGAAGCATGTGCTGTATGTGATGTCTAGCATTGCGAGCTGTTATTTATTTATTCTTGTGCCATTAGAAAGAATAGCTGAAAAAGAAACCAAAAAAGTAAATAAATGACATGAAAACAACAATAAAATAATAATAATGAAATATAGAATCCACCTAATAGAATGCTACGTACTTCAGCTAGAGAACAATTACAGCGCAGAGGTAGTTTTTAATGTTTATTGTATTTCCAAAAATGATGAATAAAGAGAAAAAAAATTTACAAAACTGTATATATGTGTAGTGTATGTGTTGTTATATGTGTAATATATATGATGTGTTCTGTATACATATCCCCCTTCTCTCTCTCCTATTTAACCCTTGGACTTAGTTTGCCAAAACTAAGCCTTTAGATTTTTCTTCATTATCTTTCTTTGAACTAGAGGGAGGATTGATCTTTAATACATTATTGTCTGGACTGTTGGGTGGTGAGATACGAATAGGTGTTGATATTCTTGGTTGAACATAAGGTAGCATAGGTGAGTGACTGGGACTAACAGGATTCATCTTTAAGGTTATTCTACCACGAGAACGGTCTTCGAATAATGTCATAATATTTCCGTGGTCTCCTACACGGTAAGAGACAGAGAAAGGGTCAATCCATAAAACGAAATCACGAGGAAGATGAGCATGAATACAAGAAGGTTGAATGGGTACTGCAGCAGAGGCTATTATTTATATTTAGAAGACACAGAACAACGCGGAGCAAAATGGGAAAAAAACTATTTTCTTACCCAAGGTAAGAATAGGATCAAGTTGTCCATTGAAATTAGAAATCGCTCTATAGCCATTTCCTTTATATGGTTGTTGAGGATCCCAGTGGTCTTGAAAACGAATTTTTAGTAGTTCGGTTAATTTTTCTTTAAAAGCGTTTATTGTGTCTTGGTCTACTTTTGATTGCAAAAGTCTACCAAGAAATTCAACAGCTTGTGCGATTTCAATATGCATGATATGTACAAAATGGTTCAAAAGGGGTTTAAAAAATAATAATAAAAAGAGGAAAGAGTGTGAGAGGGTTTTTAAGGCAAATAAACCGGGCTTTCAATATTAATTAGAACTCAAATGGCGTTTTTTAAATCATTCTCGTAATATAATTGGATCAATTTGGCTTTTACTTAAAACTGAAGTCGCTTCATGAATTTGGTTGGTGGGCTGAAGTTAAATATATAGTATTGTTTTCAAGAACGTGTGACTCTTTTTGTACATTTCAATTCAATTTGTTGAAATTGACTTTAACAGTAAATACTATGGAGCAAGCAATATTTCATTTACGTTTTCCTCCTCAAAAACTTTCTGCTTTCTCTAATGAAAGTATTGTC